CCAGACAAGCAAAAGCTGATTTATCACCACAAGACCAGGCTTATAAGAAATGTTAAAGAAACTTATTCAAGCTGATATAAAAGGGTGCAAATTAGTAACAGGAAAAACACAAAACTATAATTTCACTGGTAAAGATAAATATACAGTTAAATTCAGAATACTCTAATGTTGGAATTGTGGTGGGTAAATCACATTGAAAGAACATTCCATCTAAGAGCAGCAAATACATATTTTTCTCAAGTGCACATGAAACATTCTGCTGAAGTTCTATACACTAACAACAAACTATCAGAGAAGTTAGGAAACTATACCATTTACAATTTTATTGAGGAATAGAATACCTATAAATAAATTTAACAAGGGAGGTAAAAGATTTGTACAGTGAAACTATAATACATTGATGAAAGAAATTGAAGACGCACACAAAAAATAGAAAGATATTCTGTGCTCACAGATTGGAAGAATTAATGTTGTTATAATGTTCATAGTACCCAAAACAATCTACAGATCTAATGCAATCTCCATCAACATTCCAAAGACTTTTTTCACATATACAGAAAAAAAGAATTCCTAAAATTTGTATGGAAAAGCAAAAGATTCAACGTAGCCAAAGCAATCTTGAGAAAAAGACAAAGCTGAAGGCTCATATTTCCTGTTTCAAACTATATTACAAAGCTATAAAAATCAAAATAGTATGGTATTTGCATAAAAACAGAAACATAAAGCAATGGAATAGAATAAAGTATCCAGAAATCAAAGTCTGTCAAGGAAAATGTCTAGCCATTGTTAAAATAACAAGAATGGTTTGTGCAACATCGATGTAACCTGGCAGCCAAGGAGAGTGGACTGGAATGTGTATGCATGAACAATGATGACTTCACTGTACTAGTTAGTGGAGGTGGTAGATACATTGAGTGAGCATGTGCACTGTGTTTGCTGTCACATTCAAAATGACTGAGAGAGTAGAGCAATGAATCTGCATCAAATTTTTTGTTAAGCTTGAGCATTCCTCCTCAGAAACTATCTGGATGATTCAGAAGGCTGCATCTTTGGGAAACAAGTGATTGGCAGCTTCTTCATGACAACATGCCCCCTCGTGCATCACATATCATGTAGAGTTTTTTGATAAAACATCAAATCACCCAGATGATTCAACCCCACTACAACCCAGATTTGGTGCCCTGCGACTTCTGGCTTTTCCCAAAGCTAAAATCACCTTTGAAAGGGAAGAGATTTCAGACCATCGATGAGATTCAGGAAAATACAACAGGGCAGCTGATGGGATTGGAAGAACTATGTGAGGTTCCAAGGTGTCTACTTTGAAGGAGACTGAGGCATCACTGTCCTATGTACAATGTTTGTTGTATCTTGCATCTTCTTCAATAAATGTCTCTATCATATTACACGTCTGGATAGCTTCTGGAAAGAACTCGTATATATGGTCAATTAATTTATGACAAAGAAGTCAAGAAAATACACAATGGAGAAAGGACAGATTCTTCAATAAATGGTGTTGGTCAAACTTGACAGCCACATGCAAAAAAATAAAACTGGCTCCCTGTGTTACACCATACACAAAAACCAACTCAAAGTAGATTAAAGACTTGAACCTAAGACCTAAAACCATAAAATTCCTAACAGAAAATATAAGGGGTAAGCCCCTTGACATTGGTCTTGGCAATTCAATATAAGCAAAAATAAACAAGTGTTACTACATCAAATTAAAAATCTTCTACACAGCAAACATGAAAATGTGCTCAACACCACTAACCATCAGGGAAATGTAAATCAAAACCACAGTGAGGTACCACCTCACACCGATTAGAATGGCTCTCACCAAAAGGATAAGATGTAAGTGTTGGAGAGGATGTGGATAAAACGGAACCCTTGAGGTCTTTTGGTAGGAATGTAAATTGGTGCAGCCACTAGGATACAGTATGGAAATTCCTCAAAAAATTAAAAATAGAACTATATGACCCAGCTACTCTATTTCTGCATATATACCCAAAGGAAAAGAAGTCACTATCTGAAATAGATGGATAAACGAATAAAGAAGAGGTCACACACACACAGAGGACTATTATTCAGCCATTAAAAAGAATGAAATTTTTCCATTTATTATAACATAGATAAATCTTGAGGGCATTATGCTAAGTGAAATAAGTCACATAGGGACAGACAAATACTATATGATCTCATCTATATGTGAAATCTAAAAAAAGTGAACTCACAGAAACAGAGAGCAGGTTGGTGGTTTCCGGGGGGGTGGGGCACAGAGTGGGGAAAATGGGTCAAGGTGTTCAAAAGTCACAAACTTCCTGTTAGAAGATAAATGAGTTCTGGTGATGTGATTTACAGGATGATGACTATAGTTAATAATATTATATTGTATATTTGAAAGTTACTAAGAGAACAGATCTTAAAAGTTCTCATTCAAAGGAAACATGTAACTATGTAGATGATGATAGTTAACTAACCTTACTGTGGTAATCATTACACAACATATACATGTATCAAATCATGTTGTATACCTTAAACTAATACAATATTATATGTCAATGATACCTCAATAAAATAGGAAAAATGGAAATAAAAGTCAGTTAACATTATAAAAATGTAAATCTCATCCATAAGCACTGTAACAGAAAGACTCAGGATATTTGACCATATATCTGCCACACAAAATTAATCATCATAGTGTCCAATAGGATATTATGGAAATAATACACTATACTTTCTGAGGGTAGATTATAAAAAACATTGTGGCGTCTGCTGTTCTCTCTTTTTATGAGAGTGTAACAAGAACGAGCCACCATGTCACAAGGATACTCAAAATACAGGGTCTGGCACAAATAACACCCTCTTTTTATCACAAAATATTTTATTACAAAATCATAAGCATGTAATTCTGTAACATAACATCACACTCAAGCACACCATATGACATTTTAGGTGAAATGTTCAAATTGAAACTATAAATTATTACACCCATGTTATTGCCCTACAAACCACACTCAAGCAGGCCTTACTTCTGCCAGACCCTGTAGTACAATCCTATGATGAGGTCCACATGGAGAGGACATTAGGTCTCCAGCCCAGAGCCATGTGAGTGAGCCATCTTACATGATTGCCACTCCGGCTGACGTCTTAATTGCAACCTCTTGAGAAATTGCAAGGCAGAGCCACCTTGCTAAGCTGCTCTCAAATCCCTGACACACAGAAACTGTCTTAGGTCATAAGTAACTTGTTTTATTTCTAATCCTCACCTGAGGATATGCTTCTTGATTTTAGAGAGAGAGAAAGGGAGAGAGGGAAACACCAATCCATTGCCTCCCATGCACACCCTGACTGGGGATCTGCCTGCAACCTAGGTATGTGCCCTGATCAGGAATTGAACCCACAACATTTTGGTCCATGGGGCCACACTTTAAACAACTGAGCCACCATCAGTTTATGCTAATTTGTTATTATGCAATAGCTAATTGATTTTAAAGTCATTCTAACAAAATAATTGATACGTACTCTTCAAAAATGTCAAGGTCATGAAAGACAAAAAAAAGCTGAAGACCGTTTTCAGATTAAATGAGAAAAAAATAACAGTCAAATGATCTTAGAATGATCCTAGACTAGAAAAAAAAGTATGTGTGTGTATTTGCTTATAATAAACATCGTCGAGACAGTTGGAGAAATTTAAGTACAGTCTGTTGCTTAGATAATAGTATTGTGTCAATATTAATTTTCTGGTTTTGTAGTTGTGGAAGAAAGTGTTCTTGTTTTTAGAAAATACACACTGAAGTATTTAGAGGAGGGATGTCATGCCTGTAAGTTATCTCAAACAGTTCCAAAGTAACAATTACATAATTATATAATTATATGTGCATGTATCTATATGTGATTTTCATACCTATGAAACTATATCTATAGTTATTCTTTCTACCTATCATCTATCATCATCATCAATCCATCTGTCCAAAGTGAGAGACAGAAAATGATAAAGAAAAGTGAAATGTTAACATTTGGAGATATACATAGACATATGTATGTAATTCTTTGTACTATTCTTGCCACTTTCCTGTAGAAATTATTTCAAAATAAATACAAATACCATATGATCTTACCTATAAGAGGAATCTAATGAATAAAATAAACTAACAAACACAATAGAACCACAGGCATGGAAACAAGGAATAGACTGAAAGTGAACAGAGGGGAGAGGGGAGAGGGACCGGGATAATAGAAAGAAGGGGAAGGGACTAGGCAAAAGACATCTATGAGTGGCCCACAGACATGGGCAATAGCGTGGGAATTGACTGTGGGAGAGGTGCTACAGGCAGAGGAGGGCGGGGGCGGGGAATTGGGACAACTGTAGTAGACTAACAATAAAAAATGATTTTTTAAAAAAGGACTTAATAGTAGAAATTGCTGCTGTTCATGTTTCCTTTCTAAGTAAGCTCTTATTTCAACCCTAGGGTTAGAACTAATAGCTTATGAAATAAATTTAATGCATCCAAGCCAAAATCAAAATAAGAAGGAGGAGGAGGAGGAGGAGGAGAAGGAGAAGAAGGAGGAGAGGAGGAAGAAGAAGAAGGAAAGGAAAGGTCATTCTTGATTAGTAAGGGTGATTACTATTTTGTGAAACTTCTGTTCCACTTCTCCAGATGCAAAAGCGGATGCACTGAATTCCAAAGTGAAAAAGTAGGAAAACCGCTACACTGATGGCTAGAATGTTCACTAACGGCGGGGTGTCAGAATTCCACCGTTCGCCCGCCTCCTCCCGCCCGCCCCGCCCCTTGAGGCCAGGGCCACCGCACCAGCGTGGGCGTCCCGCCCCTAGGCAGTTTGCAGGTGTGCGCACAAATCTAGCACGTGGTGCCAGGCACTATTTAAGCGGGCACCTTCGCTTGGTTGCAACTGTCTCCTGTTTCAGCCCTACCCTCCTGGAGCTGCCAGAGGCTCGCGGGTCTCGGAACGCATTCCAGCGCTGAGGCTGCCGCCGTGGCATGGGCGCCGCAAGCCTGCTCTGGGTTTTCTTGGCTCTCGTCACGCCAGGGGTCCTCGGTGAGCTGGGCGGGGGAGCGTGGAGGTAGGGACGCGTCTGTCTGGGTCAGGGACGATTTTTATGCCGTGATGCAAAGCAGAACCAAAAGCGAGAAGGCGGAGGCAATACCGAACGGTTGCCTGCCACCCGCTCGCTTTGGGGGACCTCCTCAATCTCTTAGTACTAAAGGTACTCACCGGCGGCCCCTGGGGCTGGGACCACCAAAACTGGAGGCTGCGCTACAGAGGGGCGCTGTGCGACCTACCTGGTGAGCCCGGTGGCGCGCACTCTCAGTTCCCTCTAGCTTCCCCGCCCCTAGTCTCGTCAGGTGCTCCTCACTCTCCGCCAGGAGGTCTGCCAGTTGTAACTATGGCCACGTAGCCACAAGTTACCCTTGATATGTGCAAAATTTGCACCACGCTCCACTAGATGGGGGACTTTTTGTATCCGCTGAACTCGCTCCTGCCCCATGCAGAGGGTCCTGCCGCAGCCTTCCTTAAGAATGTCTGCTTCCCAGGCATGGTGCTCACAGTTGTGTTTTTAACTTGTAATTTTTGTAAAGAGATCCTGAACGATAAACTCCTGGAGTTATTTAGAAAACGTGAGACACAAATTAAGACTACAGTTGGCTTTGTGTTATTTACCTTCTGTAATGGTAATAGCTGCAGAAGGTCTCATTTAACGTTTATTGGTACCAACCACCCCCTCTGGCCCTGAGCTTGGAGTAATTTTAAAGAAATGTTGTAATTTGTTAAGATTAGAGTCTCCTGGAGATCAGATATGTCTAACTTTCTAATTACATCCAGGGTACAGTGAATTTCTCATTTATTAAGAAGGTAACTCTATGCAGACCTCAAGAACTGGGTGACCTTGGGCAAGTCATTTAGCTCCCTGATCCTCAGTTTCTTCATCTGTGGAATGAAACTAGTGATAAACTGCTCACCCACCTTACTGAGCTGCCCTGAAGAGCACACAAAATTGGCAAATGAGAGTTAGATATTAGTTGTTACTACTAAGTACCAGTAATAAGACTACCGAATGGACCTGTTTTTATGGAGCCAACTTGTCAAGGGAAACTACATACATTAGTTCTATTACAACTTATTTTGTCTACTTCCTGACCTTTAACTTTCTCCTGACCCTTAACTATTTCCCCAAACCATTATCTTCATCTCTCTCTCCCCTGCACATGAATTCCCTTTGAATGAACATTCACAACTTTCCCTGACACCTCTGTGTGCCGCAGTTGCAGACCTGACTTCCCACCAGCCTTGCATTCCTATTTCTAAATTTCAAAAAGACTGTTATCAATTGAAAATCAGATTGTTCACTAGCTCTGCCAATTCATCACCCCTTCCAAGTGTGCGAGAGTATTCCCTCTCAGTACCAGAGCAGGACCATTCTCTAGGTCACTTAAATCCAAACACATTAAAAAGCAGGTCTATGTACCTACCGGCTATGTTAGCTAATGTGCTCCTGTTGTTTGTATTAATCATTCTAACATGGATATTATATTACCCGCTTAACAACCTCCTTTCTTACAGGTCACTATAATATCAATCTTTAACCTTCCCAAAGGTGGAAAACCAAAATTTTGAAACTATGTATTTTTCATTATTCCACTTTCTCAAAAATCTAAAAGGGTTTCCTACTGTCTGTGGGGTTAAAAAAAAAAAAATCAAATGTCTTCAGCCTTTCAAGCCCTTTGTAATTGGATCCACCTAAGCATGCCCCTCAAGACTCCTCATGTTCCCTGTCATGAATGTACCATTCGTTGTCTTCCCTGACTGTCCGCCCATAGCTCTTTGTGCTTTGCCCGCACCCCTACCCTGACTTTGGTGCCCACTATGTATCCGCCCCAGACTGTCCCTGGGCTCTGGGCCAGTTCCTGCCCTCGAATATGCTTAATAAGATCTTGAGGTGCCTTTTTAAAATATAGGTTCCTAGGTTCCACCTCACACTCCAGAGATTCATAGGTTTGGGATGTGGCCCAGAGAGCTGAGATTTAACCAGCACTCTGGAAAATTCTGAAGTAAGTATCTATAGGGCACACTGCTGTAAGCAGGCATATGGGAAGCAAATTTCCTTCTTAGAGTATTTCTCCACTTCTATATTTTGTCTCTTTACATAAACTGATTCAAATTTACTGCACTAAGTAATTTCACTCTTGCCAAGATCCTCAAACAGGAATTCCTTTGTTTTCTAATCGTCTACTTCCATTTGAGATCAGATCCTTTTACTCCATTGCTTAAAACCTGTCAAGGGCCTCCCATCACATTAGAACAAAATTAATCCTCTTATCCTTGACTACAGGCCTCTACCTCTCTCTAAAATTCTCTGTCCTATCTCCCACCTACTTTCTCTGTTCCAGCCACACTGACTTTCTTTCCTTTCCTTTCCTTTCCTTCAACACACTCACATTTGTTTAGCCTTTGCATTAAGTGTTCCCTCTGTTGAAATGCTCTTCCTACAGATCACCTGACTGTCTCCTGGCCTTTCAGGTCTCAGCTCCACCTTTACTCTTCTCTGACTCTTACCTGAAACAGTTGTTCCGCCCGCCACCGCTCACTCTCTATCACATAACCATGTCCTATTCCCCAAAGAGCACCTATACCGTATGAAATATTCTCGTTTATTTACTTGTTTTGGTTTGTTCCCTCACTGGGACACATGTTCTAGGGGAGCAATGAATTCTAGAACTAGCATATAACTAGGAGGTCAATAAGAACATTCTTTTCCTTCTTTAACAATGGAAAACATATCCTTTCTGCTGAAAAATCAACCCTTCTTCCGGTATTTACAATCATATTGCATACCCTCTTGCCTTTGGAAGGACTTTACTTCTGCAGATGTATCCTGATTTGCATCATTGCATTTATATCACTTGTTGGCTTATTCCTACCAGCACTTAAACGTGCCCTAGGACATCCTCTTTTTGGGAAAGGGGACTTGTCATGACCTAATGGAACTGCATTTTCCTACCCCTCTCCTCATCATTCTCAGCAAAATTTTCTGTTGACTACTTGCTGACATGCCTTTCTCTCCTTAACCCACTCCAGACAAGCTTCTTTCCCCTCGATTTTCCTAAAGCTGCTCTCAGCAAAGTCACTACTGGCCTTCATGCTGACAAATCCAGTGGTCATTTTTCTCTCCATATTTTTCTCAGCCTTTCAGCAAGAGGTGAATACTTCCAACCTCTTGAAACAGTTCCAGCCTCATTTTCCAAGAGAGGACACTCTTGCCTACTGTTTCTGTACCTCTCTGGTTGCTTTTAGTCCCTTTTGCCCTACCTCCAAATAATTAGAGTTTGGGGGTTCAATGCTGGACCTCTTCTGCTTTTCTCAGTACTTTCTCCCTAAGAGATTTCATCCAGTTTCATGACTTTAAATACTTTTTATATGTTAATGACTTATTTGTTATCTATAGTCCTGACCTATCTCCTGAGTGGCAAATTTGTACATCCAAATGCCTACCTGGCATCTCCATCTGGAGACCTGTTGAGAACAGTCCCGCCTGGTTTCAGGGACTGTAGCCTCACCAACAGGGGAGAGGACCCCAAAGCTGGGGCTGAGCAAGGAGGCCTTGGGAAAATAGACCACTGAGGAGGCAAAACCTGTTCTCCTGGCAGGGGCGCAGCCCTTGCCTCCCTCACAGCACCCTGCTTGGTCCCAGAGGGTGGCTGGTTAGTCAATGATGGATGAGACCCCTCGATGGCAGGGGCAACATAAGACAGGCATGGGGTCCATCTGGGAAGGACTTGGGGGACACGTAGAAGGGGTAAAAGACCCTCACCCCTCGGCTTTGTCATGGCTGGAGTTCCCATTCTATCTGAAAGAAGTCTCCTTATCTCTTGGCTGCTCTGCTCCATCTACCTGACAGGGTCAGTGAAACAAAACTAAAGGCAGGTACAGCCCTAAACTGGATCAGGCAGTTCTCCAAGGGCAGTTAGGCCTGGAAAAGGAATGCATTAGATCCTATGAAAACTACTTTGTTAAGAATGCCCTCGAGTTAATGAGTACTGACTTTGGGGTCTGAGCATAGGATGAAATCAGTTTCCAAGGTTTCTGGGACTAATGGATGCCACCCTGTCTACCAGACCCTGGCCTGAGGCGAATCTCTGTGTTCCTTCAATTGTTATCTATGATCTCTAATTGTTTTCTATAAACATAGCCTTTAGGCATTGATTGATAAGCTTTGCATGTATGCTGTGTACCCCTGCTCACATCATTCTCAACAAAAGCCACTTCAAGAGAAGGGCCTGGGGGCTTCTCCACTAGAGGGAATCGCCACCCCCTTTTCCTGGCAGACCTAGAGTGTCTGGAATGACTTATTTCCTCCTTAGCCGCAGCTGGGGGTCTCTGCAGGATGGGTGGGGTACGCTCCTCATCTGGTGCCTGAACAGGGACCCCAGAGAGACCCAGTAAGTGTGTTAAGTATATCAAATCTAAAGTGCCATCAATTCTACTCCTACCATATCTTACCCACCCCCCTCCACACACACACACCAAAAAAAAAAAAAAAAAAAAAAACTGGTTCTTTCCGAGGCTTTCCCCTCTTAGTTCATGTATTACATCAACTGAGTAGCTCAAGTCAAAAGTGTAGAAGTTATTACTAAATTCTCTCATTTCCTTAGCCCCACATCTAATGTAACAAAAAGTTTTCACAACCCTGTTTTTAAATATATTCCAAATCAACCCACTTCTCACTGTCTCGTTGTAGTCCAAGCCTCATTTTTTTTGTGTCTGAAATGCTATTAGCACCCAGACTGCACTCCCTGGCTTCTAAAAGTAAAAGTCCAGTATTCTCCAACAATTGCCAGACTGTTCCTTTTAAAAAGTCAGTCAGGCCGTGTGACTCTCCTGCTTGAACTCTCCAGTGACTTCCACTCAGGATAACATCCAGACATCTACTGCAGCCTGAGGAGCCCTGTGCAACCTGTCCTCACTGAGACTTCTAACCAGATCTCATGCCACTGTCTTGATCCCTGCATTCCAGCCATACTTGTCTTTTGTCTCTCCCTAAAGAGTAGCAAATCCATCCCTGCTATTAGGCCTCTGCGTAAAAAGCTTTTATTTAGCACTTTGCCTGGCTAGCTGCTTCTTATCCTTCAGTAACAACTCAGTGTTGATTCTTTATAGGACTTCTTTAAGCATCATAACCAAAGCAGTATACCACCTAGTCCCCTCATCCTTCTGGTGCATCACTCTATTTATTTCCCTTACAAACAATCTATTTGTTTACTGGTATTTATTTATGATCTGTCTTGCTCTATTGGAATATAAATTTCATGAAGGTGGGAACTTTGTCTCTAATGTTCACTGATGCATCTCCTATGCTTAGGAAAGTACCTTGGTTAACATATATAACCATCATTCAAAAATGGTCAAACAGCCAGGAAGCCCAGAGTTAAGGCATTTCATTATAATAATTTTCAATAATAATTTTTCCTTCTACCTGCTTTCTGACTTAATTTTTAGTTTTACTTTTATTATCCTATATAATTGTTCTTCTTTAATTTCAAATGAATTTCTAAGCCATTCTAGATAAAAATCTTTGGATCCAAATAAAAAACTAAATGTATCCCTGTTCTCTAGAAACTGCATTGCCTAGTTAGTTTTTAACAATGGTTTAAGGGATGTATATGTCAATATCTTGCCACTATTTTCTATTTTAGATCTAGTCATGATCTACTCAGATTTTTATTCTGGATGTTAGGAAGATGTGAAGAGGGTACAGTAACCCTTAAGAAAGTTCATATTACTTAACAATTCATGGATTAACCTTCCCCTTTCTGCTATGGAGCCGAACACGATTGCTAAAAATTCTGTCTTTGACCTGAGATTTTGATAATTTTGTGACTAAAGAGAGCTAGTGTCTGCCAAAAGGGAAAGAGTCCCAATATTTTTTCCCATTATTTTCCCATTATTTTACATTTGGAAAGTGTGATTCTTCTCTCCTTTCACTTTAGAAGGTCATGTTATAAAGTACATTTCTGCTTTTGCTGCTTCAAAAATCTCGGTGCCCTCTTACTCCATGTCTTTGCTACTGATTAAATCTTGTGGACTAAAATTGGTTTTCTAGCTTGTGGAGAGCTATTTGGTATTGTCCTTATTTACATTGAATACTTGCAGGTTAAATCACTTGCTTAGAGTACGCTGGCACAAGTAATGTCATGGCTGTCAGGCTGGTCTTCACTGAGGTCAAACCCTGTCTTTCCCTACAGAGGCTTGGTGTTTTACACAGGCAGACACTTGAAGAACATTTGTAGTTATTAATGGAGGAAACCAAATGAGTTCAGGAAAGAAACAGAAGGAGACCTACAGTGACCTCTGGGTCCCAAGAGTTATGGATATTCTTAATAAATCTATAGGACTTCAACAGAAGCGCTGGGCGCAGAAAGCCTGGGTCTGCCTAAAGCTGTGGGAGCTTCCTTTACCTCTATGTCAGTTACTCTGTGACATTTCTTTAACTTTCACTTGGACCTGTCTTAGATTTGTGTGAAATAAAATTTCTAAATTTGATACTCAAATAGACTGCCATTCTTCAATTAAAACTTGAGATTACTTACCTAGAAAAATGACTTTTCCAAGCATATCCAAATATGTGAGTATTACAGTCTCTTACCCATATTCTAGGCCAAAATGTATTTCATTATTCATGTTGTTATGATTTTTTAACTCACGGGGAATTGTCTTGGTATGAGTAGTTCCTTTTATCTAGTACCTATCAGAAAGAAATTACTAAGTTGTCTTAGAGGGCGTATTACTCCACTAGTTTAATGGAAGGCAAATGAAGAATAATAAATAAACATATCTTTATTGGTAGGAACTACAGCTTTAATTTAAGACTAAGACAGTAATGGTGATTTATTAAAATTATTTTAGGGAATCTTACATGTCCAAGTGTATAAGGCCTCTGATGTATTCTAGTTTCCTGTGCTATCCTAAAAAACTTTATATATAAGGTTTTAGTTTTTATATATGAGGTTGTAAAAAGATGAAACAACTCCAGGGTCCTTAAGGAATTTTATGAAAAACCATTTTCTCCATCTAAAGTCTATCCTAAAATGTCTTTGAACTTCTGAGCTTATTTTTTTCTGTATATGCACCCATACTGCAAGATACATACACTTTTTCTGAGAAATTTTTTCCCCATTTTAGGTTTACTTTCTAAAAGTTAAAGTTGTCAGGATAATTGGTGACAAAGCAGAAGCAGAGTAGAAGGTTTAGCCTCTTTTCTGATAGTCCTGTGCCCTTTGTCTCTAGATCAGTGAAAGTTCCTGCCAAGGTATCCTTTTGCTAAGCCTGAAGTTCAGAGTGATCAGCCAGAGTTTGCTGTTGGGACATCTTGGGACTATGAATGCCTTCCTGGGTATAGCAGAAGGTCATTCTTTGCCACCTGCCTAGAGACCTCCAAGTGGTCAGATGCTCAGCAATACTGTAAACACGAGTAACCTTTGTAACAGAGGCGTCTTTGGCTATATTAGTGTGTCTCTATGGGCTGACCTGTTCTTTTTATTATTATTATAAATGATCAGCAAATTAGTAAGTCATCTCAGTGAAGGGGGCTCCTGGGTTTTCCATGTTTTCCTTTATTCCTAGGGCAGTGAGTACTGAGGTTCAGTCATCACAGCTGGCCCATCCTGCTGTCCTCTATGTAACCTGTAACCTCTATGACCTTCCCTGTACTCTCTGCACTGAGTTAGAGTGAGGTTAGAAGTTAGTATGCAGGAATAATAGTTTCACTTCATTCTTACCTCCATTTAATCCAAGGGGTGTTTTTGAGCAACTCCTAGGTATGAAGCTGTAGGCTAGCTGGTGGGGCTGCGGGGCACCATAAAAGTCTGCTAGTCCCTTCCTGTAAGGAACTCCTATACTAATTGTAAAGGCTCACTTTTAAACAAATATTGTACTATCATGTAAGTTCACTTAGTCACTGAAGGAAAAGTTCTATGAGGTGATAGAGAAGGAAATAATAAAGGCTATCTAAGTGAATTAGAGAAATCTAGACATCACAGGCGGAGGAAACAGCATATGCAAAGGCATGGATATGAAAGAACTGACATCTTTAGAAAATAGAAAAATTCAGTACGTGGTGAGGAATAGTAGTTAAGTAAATCAGACCTTACTACTGACAGGCGATGAATTTTTCCAATCAACAATGTTAAGTTATTGTAAGGTAAAATGTAGGTAGTGGTATGACCACATTTGTGCTTCTGAAAGATAATGGGTTCATTGGTAGATGCGATAGAAGAATGGAGACCAGTGGAGACCAGAGTTAGAAAGATAAACTTTGTTACTCAGTGATCTGATGAGAGGTTACAGCTTTGACAAAAAGTTGGTTTGGAGAGATTTGGAATTCAGTCACTAAAATTTGGTGACCAACTGAATGGGGGATAAAGAATGAGTTACAGAAAGGAAATGCTGACTATTAAATTTGTGTGTGTTTTTTTTAAGCCACAAGACTTGGTAGATGATGCCATCAACTGACAGAATATAAAAAGAGGAAATAAAGATTATAAATTTGGTTGGACACAAATAATGTTTGCATGCACACTCAGAAATATAGGCTATATGCTTTAAATAAATACTGTCCTGGAGTTGACTTTCCCCTTGGAAAGTAAAAGTTTTGTAAAGGTCAAAATTTTCTTTGAATAAGCACAAATAAGCTAGTCAGGAAGTCTAGTCAGGTTGGGACTTATATGAAACACAGAAAGCTTCCCAAATCTTAGTCCAGAATCTTGTTTGTTTTGTTTTCCTTTGTAAGTAAATCATGTGTAAGTCCCAGAGAACCTCTCCATGGCTCTGTTCTCACACACATGAGTATCGAGTTTGGGTCAACAATTACATATTCTTGTGATGAAGGGTGAATTGGCAGCAGACATTTCCAGGGCACATGGGCTTTACAGCAGTTGTTTTAACCAGATGCCTTCTGTATTCAAAGAGAGATCTGAGTAACTGCCACCTACCCTTCAAAATAGAGAAGCAAGAAGAGAACCACCTACCTCATCTGCTCTAGAGACTACCGTGCAGGGTTACCCGCTATAGAGGTTACCTAGAAGAGAAAATAGCTTGGGCTACTCTTCTTCCAATTTTAAATCTCCAGTGTTACTGACCAGCAGGCAAATTTTACTTGGCTTTAGATTCTTTAATCTTTAATATGAGTCCTTAGTCTGTCACTGATACTTGTAGTACATGACACTCCATCCTTTGCCATTCTTTCAGTGGACAAAGAACTAAGCTTTCCCAAAATGTACATTTAGCTGAGAGATGATCACTCATCTCTTTGCCTTTAGATATTGACTCTTTGATGACTCATCTGCTACATGTATTATCTCAGGCAATACTGTAACCTGGGATCAGGACATGCCTTTATGTGAATGTGAGTACAACGATCCTTTTATTGCACCCTGTGTAATTCTTCTTGTATCCTTCCAGAGGGAAATGAGAGATCTACATATCAAAAGGTGTACCCAGACAAAGCTATACTTGGTTTGATAAGTTCTGGGCACAGAGCTGTGGTGTGTTTATGTTCTTCCAATCTGCCCCACAACCCCATCACACCCTCCTTTGATTTCTCCCCTTTGATGTTATTTCATAGTGAATAAGAGATTAAGTCTAAAATATGCCACGAGACTACACTGCCAGCTTTATTTCATGCAAAATGTAGGTCATCTCAGGTGCCTCATATAACAGTTTATCTATATTCTGAGGATGAGATCTAGTGATTAGATCATAGTGGGGTTCTTTTTTTTTTTTTTTACTTTTCATCAGGAAGGTTACAGGCATCTTCCTATGTTGCAACTTCCTATTTATAATTATCTTTGAGATAACAATACGCCATTTCAGCAAAATGTGTTAATTGTAGGCTGAATTGGAGTTAGGTTTTCAAGACTGAAAACAAAATTCCCAGAAGGTATAACATTTAAATGTCTTCTTTCTTTCTCCACCTGATCCCCAAAAAGCTATTCCTTGTGAGTCACCCCCAGTCATCTCCAATGGGGACTTTTCTAGCAATAGTAGAGAATTTTTACTGTGGAATGGTGGTGACTTATCAGTGCCATGTTGGACAGAATGGGAAAAAGCTCTTCGATCTCATGGTGAAAAGTCAATATATTATACCAGCAAAGACAATCCAGTTGGCATCTGGAGTGGTCCTCCTCCTCAGTGTATTAAAATAGTCAAATGCCCAATTCCGGAAGTTGAAAATGGAATTATGGAATCTGGAGGTAGACATGCATTTTCCTTAAATGATACTGTGATGTTTAAGTGTAAGCCTGGCTTTACCATGAAAGGCAGCAGCGTGGTATGATGCCAACCAAACAGCAAATGGGATCCTCCACTGCCAAGGTGCTTCAAGGGCAGGTTGGATAGAACATTTGGTAATTTCTAAATGAAATTTGGTTGAAGAGACACATGGTAGTGATGAGAGGAGGAAGAGAAAGATAGTAGTTATGGTTGGGTATCCTGAGAAAGAATTTCAAAGTAAACTTCAAAAGTAAAATCTACATGTTGAAGAGGTAGGAAATTTACTACATCCTGGAACAGTGTTAGATCTACATTAATTTGGGGAATTTAGAAGATACTTTAAAAAATAAAAGCAGATAGTACCACAGCCAATGATCAGATTATTTTTGTAAAACATGTACATGATTAAATTTTACTTAAACGAAGTGAAAATGAATTCTCACTTCTGTTATTCATACCAATGAGGGTAGTTGGCTGATGTCAGAATTTGATTCAAAAGACTGTAGACATTATGCATTCCCGTATTGAAAAGGAGACTAGAATTAAGATTGGGTCTCTTCCTCCATTCTCTCTTTCTCCCCTATTCTTATTGAGGAATGTCTGACTTACAAAAAGGTAGCTACATTCAGATGCCCCTGCCCTCGCCCTGCAATGGCCAGACCCTTCATCAACCTGGTTAGGGGAGCAGGAAAATGAGGTCAGTTTTGGTGGTGAAAATGTATTACCAAAGCTTGGTTCCCCTGACTACTGTACTAGTGAGAAGAAAGCCACGACCATTTTAGTTATATAAAGTGGAAAACGATGAGCAGATGTAATGCTTCCTAGTCCATGCAGAGAGAGAAAGCAGGTGGTTGCATGGTTCATCATGTCTCAGAGAGTAATGGATGTTAGTCCACTCCACATCACTAAATGGCTCTCCGCTTTACACTAGGAGAGTTGACATAACCACCTTCATCCCACCCCTGCCAATCCCAACTTGGCTTAGGTTGTAGAGAGGAAAGTTCTTACTTCGGAAATAAAAGGCCTCTGGTCCTGTTCTTTTCTCAGGATGTCCACCACCTCCACATATCTGCCATGGTAATTATAACAAAATGGATAAGGAATTCTTAGCAATTGGACAGGAAGTGTCCTACAACTATGAGCCTGGTTACACTCTCATGGGAGCTAACCCTATACGTCCTTAGGAACCTGGAGCCATACAGCCCCCAAATGTGAAGGCGCCTAAAGCTCTATTCCATTGTAAGGAAACTCAGCTGTTTCCTGACTTCATGTGCCAGCTCTTGTCTCTTTTTTTCCTAGTGGAATCATGTGATGCTGCTCCAGACCAGCTTCTCAATGGTCAGGTGGTGGCTCCTCCTAACTCCAGTTTGGGGCAGAGGTTTCTTTTGTTTGTAATGAGGGGTGAATGTGAGGTGACAGGGCCTGAATTGAGACCTATGACTTATAGCTAAGCGTTGCAAAATGTGATCTCTAAACATCATCACTGTTTTTTCCTCTCCCTCCTATTCTTTGCCTTTTATGACTAAAAGTTCTCTTATTAACCAAATATTACTGGTCTTCTTCAAGTGTAGGTATTGTGCGTGGCCAGCCAAATCTGGCAATTATCCATTTATCCTTGAAAAAGCAAAGTTTGAGATCTGTAGAGAAGGTTGTATTATGGAGAATGAATAGATGATAGGGATTTAGTAAGAGAGACTCTTTGGGGTGGGCTTAGGGAAAAGGTCTTTGACATTTTCTTCACTTAAAACTGAGATTTGTTCTTTCTAAATGCTCAAGAGAATGTTGAAATTTGGAGGCCAAGGAGAAAAAAGAGAATTTTTGAAAACATTATAATCATTAGGATTTTTTCCTCTATTTCCACCTGGTGTGAAGTCATCACATAGCTGAAGTGATTCACAAATGATCTTGGATTTTTTTCCTTAAGCCTAAAGTGCTTTAAAAAAAAAAAAACTGAGTTCATTAATGCCACATGTTTGAGAGATGTGATTAATTCCATGCGACTGAGAATTGGTTTCTTCTGGTGATGATTTGCTACCCCTTATTGTTGAAGGTACCTGTTCAATGGCAAATCTTCTAGTAAGTGTGTCTCAGAAGGGATGGGAGTATGCTGGAGTAATAAGTTTTCTGTCTGTGAATGTGAGTAGAAGCAAAAGTATGAAACTCACCTCTTGATTTTTGGTGTTATCATGCATTTTTCAACTATAACATCTTACCTGCGTGTGTACTTTGAACATGGACATACCAGTCTTCTGTATGTTCGAGAGTGCAGAATGAGTTGTATTCAATCGACAACATCATTTGAGTGTTCTATTTATATTAAGATAAAGGCTCTGGAAAGTTACCCACTGTAACTGAGTGGCACATCTGTGTGGAAATGGTTTGGCCATGTCTTCTTATCCCAGTCCCTCTACTGATGAGCAACTCTTGGAGCTAAATGGAAATCAACCAGCAGTTCTGAGGTGGCACTTGTCCCTTCATTCTAAGACTCACTCACAAAAGGTGTGCATATACCAGCACAGCTATAAACAATTAACATTAGCACAAGAATATAAAGGATATAAGGTCATTGTCCCAAATCCCTGACCACTTCCTGTGGCTTTTTCAAAAGGATGCAGCATCAAAGGGTGGCAAGTGACTGCAGAGAGGCTGCACTATCTTTAGCAGAGGGACAGGATGTCCTTTTACCTCTTGTAGCCCCAGTTCATTTGAAACAAGCATCAAATAATTCTCACATTCCAGGTATTGTACTTGCTCCTTTCAGGTACTTCTGTCTCTCTGGGTGCTCATTATAACCTTATGAAGTAGCTTGATTTATATGACAGTCTAAGAAACTGATGCTTAGAGAGGGTAAGATTTGCCCAAGGTCACACAGCTATTGAGTGACAGTGGGGATTTGAAACCAGGTCTACTGAGCCCACATTCCATTAGTCCCAGGTGCCTCCACATGTGATTAGCATGTCATTAACATGTTTTCATGCACTGTTTGCCTTTGTTTTATTAAAATTGATTACACTCAGAACTATTTAATAAATACTGTTATATTGTCATTGTTTGGTCTCAATGACGCCTCTTAGTTCTATATTGGTTTATCTGCCGAAGGTCAAGAGAAAGGTAAGAATTAAGGATCTTTGGTATAAGTAGGACTATGAGTAAGAAATAAATTACAAAAATTTCTAACTGTGTTTCAGATAAAATGGCATATTCTATATTTGGACTTTTAATCTAAATTTGAATCTTTTTGTTGTTGTAATCAATATCACCACTTTTTTTTTAATTTTTAGGGATTTTTTGTGACCCTCCTCCTTCAATCAAAAATGGCCACAGTGTTTATGTTTCTGGCCCCATACCTGTTAATACTTTGGTGAGGTACACTTGTTCACCTAACTTCCGCATCATTGGAGAAAAAAATCTTTTTTGCATTAGTAAAGACCAGGTGAAAGGAATCTGGGATAAAGCTGCTCCTATATGTGAATATATCAACAAAAGAGCTATTTGCTCTGAGCCCATAGTACCAGGGGGACACAGGAACAAAATATCAAAACCACCGTACAGACATGGTGATTCTGTGACTTTTATCTGTAATACCAACTTCACCATGAAAGGAAACAAGACCGTTTGGTGTCAAACAAATTCAAAATGGGGACCGACACCACTACCAATCTGTGAGAGTGGTAAGTAAAAAGGAAATTAAGTTGAGCTGGGAGGTTGGGTCCTTGGTTTTCTGATCAGGTGACATTTTGTATCATTCTGAAGGAAGAACGGCGTCAATGTGTGAAGGGTTGGGGGTGAGGCTGGAGCATGGCAAGGGTGAAAATTATGACAAGGAGAAGTCATAATTTTTTTTTAGTTGTGAAAGATATGAATGTTCATTCAACAAGCACCAATAGAACAGATATTTTAAATTATGATGGGGAAAAAGGAACTGAACATGCCTAATAACTGAATTGAGTAAGTTTCACAAGATTGGGGGTCAGAGTTTGTTAGTGCTGTGTGAATTGTGTGGTTTTAAGGCATATATCTGAGTTAATATTAAAATGAGAAGAAGTATGAGGTCTATTAGCAAAATTACACCCCATGGATTTACCACTTATCTGTAAATAACTGCTAATACAAGGGAAAAATCGTGCCTTGTTCTGTGTGACCTCTATAAACACTTTCTGAAATGATCCAGAATTTTTCCAAGACATATCCCCAAACATAACATTTCAAATCAAATGACTTTACAAGTGAGGTCTTCATCCTTTTTTATTTAGTTGGGTTTATGCTGTTGCTGACATCTAAATCTGAACTCTATCATAAAATTACAGGGACTGGCAAGTTTGACAAACATTTTACCATCAAAATTAGCTATTTCTTAGTGAAGAACAAAATCAATTCTAAATCAGCTGACAAGTTGAAAAAACTATTATTGGAAAAATATGATTTTATCTATGTATTATTTATAGATATACAATCTGAGAGGTATGGAAGATCTGAAGATAGTCACAAAATGTATAAAATATTTTAGCTTTTATAAAGATTTAGGTAGACATGTATGTGTTTACACAGAAAGATTCCACAGACAGATTAAGCAAAGAAAAACGTCATAGAATAAGATGTGAGTACACATAATCTCACCAAATATATATACGTATGTGTACCACATATAGGATCCCACAGAACTCTATTACTAATGTCTAGCAGGATAACCCCCTAATAATATGCTACTTTTGGGGCAGAGTATAAGCTTAAATGCAGGTTGAGATTATCTGTGAAAATGGACTGTTTTTGAATAATTGAAATTTTTCACAAAATAAATCATAAAGTAACTAAAAATGCAAAATAATGAGCTATTTGTGATATAAAATGGGTATGATTAAACCACACTTTGATCTTTAAAATGTCGAGTTGAAAATTCATGACAACTTGTTACCACTGATCGTGTGTCACTTATTTGGATCCATGTACAATGTCAAAATCTAAATTGCAACGGATATTTCATCTAATGTCCTTTTTTTTTTTTAACGTGTGTGTGTGTGTGAAGATTTCCCCCTGGATTGTCCACCACTTCCCATGATACCCAATGGACATCACACAGGAGAGAATGTTAGCTCCTTTGTCCCTGGATTGTCTGTGAATTTCCGCTGCAAACCTGGTTACTTGCTTGTTGGAGAACAAACCATTCATTGTTTGTCTTCAGGACACTGGAGTACTGTCGTTCCAAAGTGTGAAGGTACCCTAAATTTACAATCAACTTTCAGAAATTAGGCTTTTCTGTTATTTGCCATGCTTTTTGCATCTTTGCCTTGTTTCCTTAGAGGCACGTTGTACACCTCCAGGACCATTGCTCAATGGGATGATAAAGGAACCTCCAAACCTTCGGGTTGGCGTAACTGTGAGCTTTTCCTGTGATGAAGGGTGAGTGTCTGGAGATTTAACCCTTTGGGCTTCTCCATGCATGGTGTGACCTGTGAAGGCTTCTCTGTGAGGATCTATGGAGAGTCTGATGTGAGGTTCTGACAGATAGTGCTAGTTAGAGTTTGATGCACATAGATTAAACGAATTTGGTTTTTGGTTTTGTGTTTTTTTTATTGTTCAAATACATTTGTCTCCATTTTCCCACCACTACTTTTGCCTGCCCCTCCAACCCCCACCTCCCACCCTCAATTCTTCCCCACTTTGGCTTTGGCCATGGGTCCTTTATACAAGTTCTTGACTTGACCCTTCCCCTTCTTTTCCCTGTTCCCCTGCCCTGCCTCACCCGTTACTGTCGGTTTGTTTTTTCTTTCAGTGTTCCTGGTTACATTTTTCTTGCTTGTTTGTTTTATTGATTAGGTTCCACTTATAGGTGAACCTATATTTGGTATTTGTTTTTCACCACCTGGTTTATTTCACTTAGTATAATGCTCTCCAGTTCCATCCATGCTGTCGAGAAGGGTAGTAGCTCATTCTTTCTTTCTGCTGCGTAGTATTCCACTGTGTAAATATACCATAGTTTTTTGATCCACTCATTTATTGATGGGCACTGAGGTTGCTTCCAGCACTTGGCTATTGTAAATTGTGCTGCTATGAATACTGGGGTGCATAGGTTCTTTTGAATTGTTGTTTTGGGGTTTTTAGGGTATAATACCAGCAGTAGAAATGTTGGGTTAAAAGGCAGTTCCAATTTTAACTTTTTGAGGAAATCCCTAACTGTTTTCCACAGTGGCTGCACCAGCCTGCATTCCCACCAACAGTGCACTAGGGTTCCCTTTTCTCCACAACCTTGTCAGTATTTGTTGTTTGTTGATTTGTTTATCATGGCCATTCTGATTGGTGTGAAGTGGTATCTCATTGTGCTTTTAATTTGCATTTCTCTGGCCAGCAATGCAGAGCATCTTTTCATGTCTTTGAGCCCTGTGTATGTTGTTCTTGGAGAAGTATCTGTCCAGGTCCTTTGTCCATTTTTTAATTGTTTGTCATCCTGGAGTGGAGTTGTGTGAGTTCTTTATATACTTTGGAGGTCAAACCCTTGTCCAAGGTGTGATTGACATATATTTTCCCATCCGGTTGGTTCCCTTTTCATTCTGCTGATGTTTTCTTAAGCCCTGCAGAAGCTTCTTATTTTGATGAAGTCCCATTTGTTTATTTATGTCCCTTGCTCCAGGGGACATATTGGTCAAAATATTGCTGTGTGGAACATTTGAGAGTTTCCTGCCTATGTTCTCCTGTAGGACTTTTATGGTGTCGTGACCTACCCATCTTGAGTTTATTTTTTGTATGGTGTAAGTTGGTGGTCAAATTTCATTGTTTTGCATGTGGCTGTCCAGGTCGCCCAACACTGTTTGTTGAAGAGGCTATTTTTACTCCATTTTATGCTCCTGCCCCCTTTGTCAAATATTAATTGACCATAGAGACATGGGTTTATTTCTGTGCTCTCTATTCTGTTCCATTGATCTATTTGTTCTTATGCCAGTACCAGACTCTTTTGATTACAGTGACCTTGGAATATACTTTGATGTCAGGTACTGTGATCCCTCCTACTTTGTTCTTCTTTCCCAAAATTGCTGCAGCTCTTCAGGATCGTTTATGGTTCCATATAAATTTTTGAAATGTTTGTTCTATATCCATGAAATACATTATTCGTATTTTAATAAGGATTGCATTGAATCTATAAATTGCTTTGGATAGTATGGACATTTTAATGATGTTAATTCTTCCAATCCATGAACACAGTGTATGCTTCCAGTTGTTTGTGTCTTCCTTAATTTCTTTCTTCAGTGTTGTGTAGTTTTCTGAGTACAGGTCTTTTACCTCCTTGGTTAAATTTATTCCTAGATACCTTATTTTTCTTGTTGCTATAGCAAATGGGAATTTTTTTCTGATTTCTGATTCTGATATTTCATTGTTGGTGTACAAAAATGCCTTCGATTTCTTTCTTTTTTAAAAATTAATTAATTTATTTTTTCACATACATTTGTCTCTGCCTTCCCCCCACCACTTTGATTTCTGAGTATTGATTTTGTATCCTGCTGTTGTGCCAAAATCACTTATTAGGCCGAGTAGTTTTTTGGTGGAGCCTATTGGGTTTTCTAGGTACACTATTATGTCATCTGCAAACAGTGACAGTTTTACTTTCTCCTTTCCAATGTGGATGCCTTTTATTTCTTTTTCTTGTGTGACCACTGTGGCTATGACTTCCAATACAATGTTGAATAGAAGTGGTGAAAGCGGACATCCTTGTCTTGTTCCCGATCTTAATGGGAAAGTGTATAGTTTTTGCCCATTGAATATGATTTTGGCTTTATATATATGGCCTTTATTATGTTTTTATATATGGCCTTTATTATGTTGAGGTATGCCCCCTTTACTACCACTTTGCTCAGTGTTTTTATCATAAATGGGTGCTGTACCTTATTGAATGCTTTTTCCACATCTATTGATATGATCATGTGATTTTTGTCTATGTGATGTATTATGTTTATTGATTTGCAAATATTGAACTATCCTTGCATCCCTGAGATGAATCCCACTTGATCATGGTGGATGATGATTTCAATGTATTGCTGGATGTGGTTTGCCAATATTTTTTTTGAGAATTGTAGTGTCTATGTTCATCAGTGATATTGGCCTGTAGTTTTCTTTCTCTGTTGTGTCTTTATCTGATTTTGAGTTAGAATACTGCACCCCAGTATTCTAATTAGAATACATCTGATTAGGATGATGCTGGCCTCATAAAAGGAGTTCGGGAGTCTCCCCTCTTTCTTGATTTTTTGGAATAGTCTGAGAAGGATGGGAGTTAGCTCTTCCTTAAAAGTTTTGTAAAATTTTCCTGTGAAATCGTCCAGTCCAGGGCTTTTGTGTGCCAGGAGTTTTTTTGATTACTGCTTCAATTTCACCAGCTCTTATATATCGGTCCGTTCAGACTTCTGCTTCTTCATTCAGTGTTAGAAGGTTATATTTTTCTAGAAATTTGTCCATTTCACCCAGGATTTCAATTTTCTTGGCATATAATTGTTCATAGTAATTTCTTATAATCCTTTGTATTTCTGTGGGATCAGTTTTAATTTCTCCTCTTTAATTTCTGATATTATTTATTTGGGTCCTCTCCCTTTTTTTCTTGATGAGTCTACTTAAAGACTTGTCGATTTTATCTTTTCAAAGAACCAGCTCCTGGATTTGTTGATCCTTTGAATTGTTATTTTAGTTTCCATATCTTTCAATTCTGCTCTGATCTTGATTATTCCCTTCCTTCTACTCACTCTGGGCTTTGTTTGTTGTTGTTTCTCCAGTTATTGAAGATGTGAGGGTATGTTGTTTATTTGAAATTTTTCTATCTTTGGCAGGTAGGCTTGTATTACTATGAACTCCTCTCTCAGGACTGCCTTCGCTATGTCCCATAGGTTTTGGACTGTTGTGTGTTTGTTTTCATTTGTTTCCAGAAACTTTTTGATTACTTCTTTGACCTCATTATTGACCCATTCATTGTTTAACAGCATGCTATTCAGTCTCCATGAGTTTGAACGTTTTTGAGTTTTTTCCTTGAGGTTAGTTTCTGGTTTCACAGTCTTTTGGCCCGAGAAAAAGCTAGTTATGATTTCAATTTTCTTGAATTTTTTGAGGCTTGTCTTGTGTCCTATCATGTGGTCTATCTTTTAAAATTTTCCTGTGCATTTGAAAAGAATGTGTATTTTTCTTCTTTGGAATGAAAGGTTCTATATATATCAGTTAAATCCATTTGATCTAATGCATCCTTTAGTTCCACAATCTTCTTGTTGATATTTTGTTTGGAAGATCTGTCCATTGTTGGCAGTGGGGTATTGAAATCCCCTACTATTCGTGTGTTGCTGTCTATATCTTTCTTGCAGTATTACAAGAAAGATATATATTCCTTATATATTTGGGTGCTCCTATGTTGGGTGCATATATGTTTACTATGTTTATGTCTTCTTGATGGATTTTTCCTTCAAATATTATGAAGTGTCCTTCTGTGTCTCTTTTTATGGCCTTTGTTTTGAAATCTATTTTGTCTGATATAAGTATTGCTACCCCAGCTTTTTTTTCCTGCGCATTTGCTTGGAATATTTTTTTCAATCCCTTTACTTTCAGTCTGTGTAGGTCCTTTGGTCTGAGGTGGGTCTCTAGTAGACAGCATATGTGTGGGTCATGTTTTCTAATCCATTCAGCTACCCTACTTCTTTTGGTTGAAGCATTTAATCTGTTTACATTTAAAGTTATTACTGATAAGTAACTATTCATATTTTCCCTTTGTACCTGTATTCCTCTTGTTCCCACTCTTTTTCTTCATCTCTTATAGCAGTCCCTTAAGGATATCTTGCAGTGCTGGTTTGGTGGAGGTGTATTCTTTTAGTTTTCTTTTGTCTGGGAAACTCCTTATTTCACCTTGCATTTTAATTAAGGGCCTTTCTGGGCACAGTACTCTTGGTTGCAGGCCTTTGCTTTTTGTTACTTGGAATATTTCTTGCCATTCCCTTCCTGCTTTTAGTGTTTCTGTTGAGAAGTCATTTGCTAGTTGTATCAGGGTTCCCTTGATGTTGTTACTTGGTTCTCCCTTGCTGCCTTTAGGATTCTCTGTTTGTCTTTGATATTTGCCATTTTAATTATGATGTGTCTTGGAATGGGCTTCATTGGGTTCCTCTTGTATGAGACCCTCTGTGCTTCCTGGACTGGTGTGACTTTTTCTCTCCTCAAATTAGGGTAGTTTTCCATCATTACATTTTCAAAAAATTTTCTATCCCTTGCTCCCCTTCTTTTCCTTCTGGTACCCTATTCTGCAGATGTTATTACATTTCAGGTTGTCCTGCATTTCCTTAAACACCTCTTCATTCTTTTTGTGTCTTTTTTCTTTTTTCTTTTTTTGCTCTTTCTGGGAGCTTTTTTTTACCTTGCCCTCAAGCTCATTGATTCAATCCTCTGCTTCATCTAGCTTGCTTGTCATTCCTTTACTGTGTTCTTCAATTCAGAAATTGTATTCTTCATTTCCTCTTGCCTCTTCTTGATAGTTTCTATGTCCTTTTTCATGTTGATATAGTTTACAGTGAGTTTCTTGTAGCTTCCCTATAGGTTAGTAACTCTCTCTCAGCTCACTTAGTTTATTGAGCTTCCTTATAACCATGGTTTTGAACTCAATATCTGATAGTTTGCTTGCCTCTATTTCATTTAGTTCTCTTTCTGAGGATTCCTCCTTTCACTTCAACTGGGATGGTGTTTCTTTGTCTTCCCATTATTGTAAGACTCTTCTTTTTTTGATTCTGCTTCTTAAATTGATCTTTCTTGACTTCCTGACTTTGTGGTATGAACTTCTATGGTAGGAGAACTGTGAGATTCAGAGGTGCCATCTCCTTCATCTCCTGAACTTGCCACTCTTTGGAGGCCTTTTATGCCATTTATGTTGGCTCTCTGGAGTAATTAGGTTTTGATTGTTGTTTGGTGTTCTTTAGTGGGTCCTATCTTCCAGCTGGTTGACTGAGGGTCACTCTGCCCACCACGTCTTGTGTGTTTTTGTGCAGGTGCTGCCAGAGGAAAACGACAAAGACCAGGAAACAAACCCACATCTGCAAAAATAACTCCCCCCTGCAATCCCAATATAAGCAACAAATGAACCAGTATTAAGGCTGTAAAGAGATTAAGGCTATTATAAGAAATGAGAGAAATAAACTATTAATATAAAATCTAATGACTTAATATGCACAAACTTGATGGACCCAAAGTGAACATTAAAAAGCTATGTAGTAAGGAAAACATTGCAAATCATGAAGACCACAGTAGATTGCATCTCAGTAGCCTCTAGTATTTACCACCCTTTTTTCTTTCTGGATCTGCCTCTGATGATGTCAGATGTTGACTCTATCTGACCTTAGGCAGTCTATTTGAGACTTCCAAGAATTTACTGTCTGTGGCTCTCTCCTTTAGTTGTTAATCTTATTCACCCTGTACTCAGAAGTCAGGCTTAGGCACCACAGAGCCAGGGCAGAGTCCCTTCTGGGGTTGGGGCTATTGTTTCCACTCATGCTGCTGCAGCTCAGGGGCATGGTCTGCCTGAGCAAGATGGTCACTGCCGTATGGGGGATGACTCAGCACCGATATCCCACCGGCTACTCTCTCAGTTCTCTCCCCATAGTCTCTGTCTCCAGTCTCTCTTCAAGTGTCTCTAGTCCACTTTGTGCCCCCTTTTGCAAGGGATCTACTATCTGTGGCCACCACTCTGTACTCAGCAGTACTCTTCAGTGGGGCTTAGTCACCACAGGCCAGGGCAGAGTCCCTCCTGCGGTCAGGGCTATTGTTTCCTCTCACACTGCTTCTGTCCAGGGGAGTGGTCTGCCTGAGCAAGATGGCTGCTGCCGTATGGGGGATGAGAGAGCACTGGGATCCTACTAACTATACCCTCAGTTCTCTCCTCAAAGCCTCCATCCTCCGTCCCTCCTCAGGCATCTCTATTTCACTCTGCTCCCACCTTTGCCAGAGTCTAGGGCAAGTGGCTACAAATAAAAATTTATGCTTTGGCCCTTTAAACAGCTCTTTGTATCTTCAGATGTCCATCTCTGGCAGAGAGCAACCCTGCCACTTTTCGCAGCTGGCTGTTATCTGTATACTTTTGGGGATCTGGTGCTTTAGGCTCGGGATCCCCGATTATGGTTTAGATGCCACTGTTCTTGGAGGGATCCAACTGGCCATTCAAATGTCCCTCTGGTGCTGCTGCCCTTGGGTACCCAGCCAGCCTTCTTGTGTCTCCATCACACTCCTTATCAGTCATGTTATGCTAAAGCTGATTCTTCTGACTGTCAGAGATTATAAGGCTTCTCTCTCACTATTGTTCAGTTGTTTGTTCCAGGTGATTTCTCCACAGTTTAGTTGTAATTCCAGATTGGTCCTGGGAGGAGGTCAGTGTGACTTCCCTTCACTCCTCTGCCACCTTCTCAGACCCTAAATGAATTTGTCTTAGACTTTAAGTAGAGGTTACTGACTCATATCTTCCACTGTATAATAGTTCTGAATGACCACCCTATGTCTACAGGTATAGTTTACAAGGCCCAACTTCTGGTCAGTGTGTAATTGCTGGACAGAGAGCTTTATGGACCAAGATGCCAGTATGTAAAGGTAGGTTATGCAAAATATGGTCTGCAACTAGTTCCTTGACTGTGGCTCAACGGGACACTGATTTCTTTGAACAAAAGACTTTTCATTTTAAAAAAGGGTCTGTAAAGTCATTAACAATACACAACCTTAGCGAGCAAATATCTCTCCTAGACATCCCTAAGGGTTATAATTGAAGCATGTTTCAGTTACTTCTTTATTCTCTTTTTTTTCAAGTAAAGCAGGGCTTCTGGACTTTTCTTTCTCTAAACTCTAAGTAGATTTGTAAGTTGGGCTATGCACATAAAGGAGATAATATATCGAGGAAAAGAAACCCAAGGATCAGCAAAATTAGATAAATTCTGGAATAGATCATATGTTTTTGAATTATATTCCTATAGCTGCCTTGATTGTTTTATTAAAGATTCAAGTATCCCAGGTCTGGGAACCTAGGAGGTGAGAGTGGCATCAAGTCTGTGACTTCCTTTGCTTTCAGCACAGCTACAATCTTGTCATTTCTCTCTATAATTTCTCTAGAAATTCTCTGCCCACCACCTCCTCCTATTCTCAATGGAAGACACACAGGCAACCCTTCAATGAACGTTCCATATGGAAGTACAGTCACTTACACTTGTGACCCAGGCCCAGAGAAAGGAGTGGGCTTCATCCTGACTGGGGAGGCCACGATCCACTGTGCCGCTGAGAGTGGAGAGACTGGGACCTGGAGCGGCCCTGCCCCACGCTGTGAACTTTCTGTTTCTGGGATTCGGTGTCCACCTCCCCAGATCCTTAGAGGCCAAATATTGTCTGGACAGAAAGATCAATATTCATATAATGACACTGTGGTATTTGCTTGCTTGTTTGGCTTCACCTTGAAAGGGAGCAAGGGAATACGTTGCAATGGCCAAGGCACCTGGGAGCCATCTCTGCCAGTCTGTGAAAAGAGTGAGTGTTCCAATACCAGCAAAAGGTGCCACTGATTGATCCCTTCAAAGAATTGAAGGAATGGGCTGTGTACTTAGGCAGGGCCTTTTTCAGTTTCTAGTCCCCTCCATATTACTAAATACTATAGTGTTTATGAATTATGTAGAAGGCTTCTTTTAACACTGCCCCCACTGTTGATTCATTTTGTAGGAGTATCCTAGGAAAAGTAACATTAAGGAACGCTAAGTTGCTCATTTTTTAGGGGAAAAAAAATGCTTGTTTGTCCTAGTGCTAATATCTTCGAAGGGAGTCAGCAAAGCCTCCACCCCATGGAAATATTAGAATCTCCCATTGAAAACATACAAGGTGATTCCTTAAAAAGGAAGAGACAAAAGAGAAGGTAAAGCACCAAGTGGGAACTGAACAAAATCTGCAGCAGCCTAAGAGCAGAAAGGAGGAAAGGATCAAGAACCACTTGATCTAAAATTACCCCCAGACTGGGCTATGAGATAGCTTCTGTATCATACAACTGCTGCCAGCAGGGTATTATAGCATTAATGCCCATATTTTTGGTTGTTTCTTCCTGTTCGCTGTTGCTTATGTGAGAAAACTTTTTTTCCGCACCCTAGAGTGCCAAGCCCCTCCTAAAATCCTCAACGGGCACAAGGAAGATGGACAGAGAATCAGCTTTGAACCTGGAACATCTATAAAATACAGATGTGACCCTGGCTATGTGCTGGCGGGAGAAGAATCCATACATTGTACCTCTGCGGGGGTGTGGACACCCACTGCCCCCAAATGCAAAGGTGCGGGGGTTTGCACGCAGATGTTTTGTGGTTTCCAGATTGCCTTGAGTTGATTTCTCATCACAGTGTCTTTTCTTTAGTGGCAGAGTGTGAACCTGTAGGAAAGCATCGTTATAGAAAACCCCAGGATCAATATATTAGACGAGATGTTAACTCTTCTTGTGATGAAGGGTGAGTGAGTGCTGGCTCAGTTGAACTAGGGCTGCCTTATCAGTGCACCCTGCAAGCTCTGTGTAAGAGCTTACGGCAAAGACCCATCCCTGTCACGTGTTCATGGAAGTGTCGATCGTGCTATTTTTCCGTGTATGGGAACTATGCCTAGGCAATGGCTGATGGAGCTGATGCTGGCTATATTTTTGTGTCTATTGCTTCTTGTCTTAAAAGTGGTGAGTCTACTGAAGAGCCAATAGCTCTTGCTTAGCATAGTGATCATGAGATGGCAAAATGACATGACTCTGTCTCTAGGTACTGGTTAGGTGAGAGTGTTTATCAGCTGTGTCAAGGCCCGATTCCTTGGTTTATGGAGATTCGTCTTTGTAAAGGTGAGTAGCAAATATAACAGAGAAACTGTAATAATGTGAGACCTACTTATGTCCTGGGAGATTTCTGTTTTAGACTATGTTTTGGGAATCAGAATATTAAACTCTGTTCTATTAACTTTGTCAGGTGTTGTTGTCTTTCTACTGTTGCCTCTCTCCACTTCAAAGCATAAGCAACCACTTAATTCCAACATATTCAGTTGCTATGCTCTCTTGTGATTCAGGAATATAAGATGATGAAAGCTGTGAGTATATGAGCCACCATGTTTAATTGGGGTGCATTGTAGTTAAAGGAGATTGGTGTGAGATCTGATCTTTTGTTCTGTATCTACTCCCTTGTATGATCTTGAGTGTTTTATGTAACTTTTCAAGACTGCAGACTTCAAAGTTATTATACTTAAATGATACCTTCCCTACATTGTATATGAGAATGTTGCCTGTCAAAAAGTAGATGCTTAATCGACAATAAATATTCTTGGCTAAATTAGCATATCATCTCAACACAAAGATGGCACTCAAAAAATACTTAATTCTATGCCCCTGTGCCTTTATACAACTCTTGTTTATTAAAAAGCAAATTTAAATTAATAATTTCCTACTGGTTGTGAATGCCTCAACAGTATTATATTAATGTATACATTCATCTTTAACGATTTCCATTACAAAAATCTTTTATGTGAATCCTGTTTAAATTGAATTTTACATGCAAGATGAACTTTGAAATAACTCATATCATCAAAACTTGCTCATATCTTCTGGGAAATGGGGTAACCATGGTTTCATAACCAGGTTCATGCCTCTTCTTTGGTTTCTAATACTGAAGCAGATTTATTTAGTCATTTCTCATCCCTCCAGAAATCACCTGCCCACCGCCCCCTGTTATCTACAATGGGGCACACACAGGCAGTTCCTCAGAAGACATGCCATATGGAACCACAGTCACTTATACATGTAACCCTGGGCCAGAGAAAGGAGTGGCATTCGACCTCATCGGCGAAAGCAGCATCCGTTGTGTAAGCAGCAGTCACGGAAGAGGCATCTGGAGTGGCCCTGCTCCTCTCTGTAAACTTTCCCTCCCTGCTGTTCAGTGCTCGTATCCCAACGTTGCAAATGGATACAAGACATCTGGCAAGGAAGCCCCATATTTCTACAATGACAGCGTGACATTCACATGCAATGATGGATTTACTTTGAAGGGCAGCAGTCAGATTCGTTGCAAAGCCAATGATACCTGGGACCCTGAAATACCCATCTGTGAAAAAGGTAAAACCCAAAGGAGAAAAATGAGGTATTTATTTAATTATTCTTATCTCCCACCCAAAACTACAGTCATGGGAAAAGCCAACAGACCACAAATGACTATCCTATTTCTTCTGTCTATACCAGAATGTTCCATGTGTGTTTTATATGTTCTTCATGTAGATACCTCTTGTATCCAGAATATATCCAGGGTAGATAATGAGAGGGCCTGGTTAAAAATGTGTAGTTCTTTCAAAAGTACAGAAAGCATTTAGTAATTAATTAGAGCTTTGTGATCTTTGGCTTAAATGTCTAAGATTGTCTGTTGTCAAATTCTGTACACTTAATGTTCTAGAGTGTAAATGCCTTTTTTTTGTTGGTATTTATGTGGGGAGTTTTCTCTTCAGACTGCCAGCCACCTTCCCGGCTCCCCCATGGTCGGCATACAGGTGGAAACAGGGTCCTCTTTGTCTCTGGGATGACTGTAGACTACACCTGTGACCCTGGCTTCTTGCTTGTGGGAAACAAATCCATTCACTGTATGTCTTCAGGAAATTGGAGTCCTTCTGCCCCTCGGTGTGAAGGTACTTTCAGTTCCAGAGTTGCTTTTTTCCTTGATAGCAGGCATGTGTAAGTAATTTGAAACTTGTTCCCCTAGAAGCACCATGTCATCCTGTGAGAGAAGATGTTCAAGAGCGTCCAGTTGATTCTCATGTGATTCCAGTTAATACATCCTGTCCAGATGGGTGAGTATGAGATGGTCCATTCAGAGAGGCTCTCCACTTTGTTTTGCACAGTACTTCTACCCTCAGCTTGTCTTGATGACTCTTTAGAGGTTTCTCGTTGCCACGCTCACAGAGAACATGAGGTTCCAAAGGTCCGACTGGCATCTCTGACATTTTAGTTCTTCCTTGACCTGGAAATGGGTTTGTTGTGAGCAACTCTAAATCTGAAATAGTTTTCTTACTTGGAGGGTCAAAGGTTTTCATTTATTTTTGTCAATGTTCTTATTTGGGAGTGCCTCTGTGTTCGTGGTATGAGGAGGCTAGGTTTCAGAGATGTGATATTGGGAAGAAGCAGTGTATTATAATCTCTCTCTAGGTACCAGCTGACTGGACATAACTATCGGGAGTGTCAAGATGCTGAGAATGGGGTTTGGTTCCAAGAGATTCCACAGTGTAAAGGTAAGACAGAAACTAAAGTTGTCAGTGGGATAGTAAGCCATTAGAGTGGCAGGCCACTGAGGAACTAGTCCGTAACTACCTCAACAGTCTTTGTGCCTTCTCTCAGTGAATCTCCGATAAGAAATACCTTTCACGATTGGGTCATCACTGTCATTGGGAAGCAAAGCTGTCAAGTAGAAACTGAGTATTTGGCATACATCTGCTGAATTATATATGCTATAGATTATATATATATTCTATAGATATATGCTATAGATATCTATTATATGTAAATATGTTTATAGTTTGTGGCAATGCAGCTGTATTGCTTTCATTTTATTACTTTACTGTATTTTCAAAATTTTTAGAATGAATGGGTGTTATTTATACAATCAAAGTATTAATAAAATTGTATTAAAGAAAAGATTGTTCATTGACAGAATATTATAGTTATGTGCAATACATGCACTTGCACCGCTCCATTTGTATCTGAATGATGACTGTCCACCTGGGTGTACTTGCTGAAGCAGGATTTCCTGAATGTCTTCTGCAGCCCTTCACTGTCCGCCTCCGCCCGTGGCTGACAATGGGAGGCACACCGGTGTGATGGCAGAACACTTTCGATATGGAACTGAAATCTCTTATGAATGTGACCAAGGATTCTCTCTTCTGGGAGAGAAAACTATACGATGCATCCGTGATTCTGCAGGAGGTGGATCTTGGAGTGGACCACCCCCGCAGTGCTTCAAACCTCCTCCTGTGACCCACTGCTCTAACCCAGAAGTCAAACATGGATACAAGCTGAATAAAACTCGTTCATCATATTCCCACGGTGACATTGTATACGTTGCTTGCAACCCCGGCTTCATCATGATTGGCAATGACTTGATTACATGTCATACCAATAACAAATGGGTGCCAGGTATACCCACTTGTGTCAAAATGGGTAAGTTATTTTAAAAATTTAACTATGAGATATGGCTCAAGGTAAGGAAAATGATTTTGAATTTGCACTTGCTATTTGACCTAAAGAAAAGCATGTGAAAACTAAGGCAATTATATTGTTTTAAGAGATACCTGCCTTATCTTCTTACCCAACTCTTTTTTTCTTCCTTCCTTTCTGTCTGGGTTGAGATAAAATATATGAAAACTGATGGTTAATTGCCAACTCGGCAGTGTCTACAAAAGTTATTAGTTTTACTATATTAGAACGGTAAGAATGCACCTACCATTGCGGGGGGGGGGGGCGAAATGTCGGCAGTAATATTGCTTGATAAATTGGACACTTAAGGCTGTGATACCAGCCAGGAAGAGAACGTCGTGTATTCTGAAGAGTGAAGCTGGCCTTTGGACACTTTGACTTGTCTCTCTTGGAATTTTAGGTATCATTTGTCAGTTTTATTTCTGTCAGTGACTAGGTCACTCTCTCCAATAGAGGCTGGTGATTAGTGACCCGAGAACTGAATTCGAGTCACCAGAACTGTTCTCTTTGGCCAACACAATAGTCTCAGTTTAAGTGAAACATGTCTCTACAGCCCAAGATAAATATTGAACCTCTGATTTAGTGCGGGTTCCCTCTGCTCTCCTGAAGGGCAGCAGTTGCTTGAATTGGGCTTTGGCTGTCATTTTTAGAAGGGCGGGTTCTCTCTCCTTTGTGGTATCTGAAGGGAAACGGAAAGACTACTATTGGCTGATCAATTAGTTGTGGGCTGCAGCCATAGATGTTTCATTATCTTACTTTTGCATTTTCCTTCAGATCATACGCAACCTGTAGAGACAGTGCAAATGTCTGTCCAGTGCTGCTTGGTTTGGGTGGAACGGATATCACTAGATACCAATTAGTTGGCTTGTTGCCTGCCTTCTTTCTGTGTGGCCTTCACCCCCAGATAGTGTTGGCAACGTGTTCCTCTGTGCTAAACTGAAGACCCTTTATTACTGGTGTCTCAGCCCTTGTAGGATGTCAGCCTCCATTTGAGATCCCCAATGGGAATCATACCGGCAGAGATACAGCTCAATTTTTGGCCGGAATGTCAGTCCTGTACAGCTGTGAGGAAGGCTACCTGCTGGTGGGAGACGCCCTCCTTCACTGCACACGTGAGGGAACCTGGGATCCTCCGGCTCCTAATTGTAGAGGTGTGTTATCTCTTTAATGTGAATGCCTTAATTAGATCACTTAATTAAAAGCATTTTAATTAGATTAATATATTAATTAATCTAAATACCACAAAATTAGAAAAATGACTGAGACTTATCTGATGGATGATCACTTACGTAGTCATTTAAATATAGAAAGTTGGAATGCTTCAGTAAATTAAATAATTAAAGTGTATGACACTGTAATAACAATTATGATAAGTATGAATCTGACAAAATGCTAATAAAAAAGGACAATGACTCTTTTCAGTGTATTTCCTTTGAGTGATGGTGGGATTATAGGTATATATTTTTTATAAAAGTTTCAGAATGTCATTTTTATTGGCATATAGAATATGAGAAGTGAGTTCATATGAGGGGGGATCCAAAAAACCTGGAGCTTATTTATTAAAAAATTGTGCATTTATTCTTGCTTGTTTAAGCTTTAGTCACCCTCAAAGTGCTCTCCATTTGATGCAATTCACCTATTGAGGCATTTTTTTCCACTGTTCAAAACAGATTTTGAATTCATCAGTTTTGGTACTTTTTCCGCTTTTTGTTTCACCTCTTCCCCCTTTGAGGACTTTTTTCATCCAGGGAAACAAACAAAAAAAATCTCACTCGAGGTGAGATCAGGTGAATAGGGAGCATGAGGAATGGGGATCCTGCCGTTTTTGATCAAAAGCTGCTGACCACTCAGAGCTGCGTTGTCAGGTGCATGTATAAATCACCCCTCAGGAAATGGGCAGACACGTTGGGAGAGTCTTCAAAAAAATCTAGAGGTCGAACTCAGCCTCTCACAACAGTGTCAGCTGGTGCCCTGATCCGGATGGTTTCCTAGGAGGCTCACCTAGTGGGGGAAGCCTGTACGACAAGGGGCCCGCCCTCCAGAAGATAATTCCATTTTAGGGATTCCTCCTCATGCGCAACATTGGTCGAGCACTTTTTCCTGTGTGCCTGCTACTGTACACAGCATTTTGAGTGCATTGTCATTTAATCTTTTTGAGAATCATATGAATTTGATACTGTTATTATTCTTACATTAGAGATGAAGTCTCAGTAGAATGAAGAGATTTGTAACTTTTCCAAAGTCACACATTAGGAAAGCCTAGCGTCAGGATTCAAATCCAAAAATCTCATAGTATTGACTGCTACACCGAAGAGATGAAAGGAAAAAAGAGGAAGCATAGATGAAGAATTGGAGAGCGAGGGTCAACAATGATAGAACAGTAATTCAGAATTCTTACTCATTTAGCCCTCACAATTTCTCTAATAAGTCATTAAAATTGATCAACTATTAGTTTAGAAACTAAAACACAAGGAAAGAAAGCAATTCCGGTAAATTACCTAGAGGGTGTTGAGCTAGATGGCTCACACTGAAAGACTCTACCTCCGTTATCATGTTATTTCAGTGAGGCTTTACTTACTGAGAATGAACTAAGTTGGTTTTGTAAAACTTTTCATTAAGAGCAGAATCTACTTCATTGGTAAACTGGATTCCTTTGATTTCAGAGATGAACTGTAGCTTCCCAGAGTATATGAATGGAATGCAGAAGGGGCTGGAGTCTGGGAAAAAGTATCAGTATGGAGAAACTGTTACTTTGGAATGTGAAGAAGGATACACCCTGGAAGGCAGTCCTCAGAGCCAGTGCCAGGAGGGTCACGGATGGAACCCTCCCCTGGCTGTTTGCCGATCGCAGAGTAAGTGCAAGGGACTTTGCTGGTACTTGGCGTCCCTGGAGAAAAAGAGATGGAGGGATATCCCTCAAGAGTAGGGACTCCCGAGTTTTAAATGGACATAGGCCTGTAACCAGTGGTACAGAACAGACAAATTTGAAACGTTGGTTGTCTGTTCTACAAAAAGCAAAACTTTCTGAGGATGAGGGAAGTAAAGAAAGAAGAACACTAACTTAAAAGGTGCAAAACTCACGACTTCACATTTTGTAAGGGGTTGCTCCTGAGACTTCCTTTATTGCTGATTCTTGATATATAGGGCCTTTCCTATTTGACAGGGACCTCAAAGAACATGTTAACAAACCAGTTACAGCAGTTAATATTTTCATTCTAACCTGAGAAATCCCTGAATATATTGCTTTTTTAGTTTGTGAACTACCCCATTTTAATTTAAAAAGTGAAAATTCTTAAAAAGTTCAATGAGTTGTAGTGTAAGAAGCTAGGGAAGCAGGGGTAAAACTAAGGTTCCAATTCATCTTTTTAAGTAGGCTGAGAGAGAGAGGAATGCTAACGTAGAGAGAATGCTAAGTCTGGGGCAGGGCCGTGGGACTTCGGGCTACACTGACTCATGCGGCTAGACTAACATGTTCATGGTTTTGGATTCTCCTTAGGCTCACTTGTTCCTCTTCTCTGTGGTAAGTTTTCTTAAATAATGAAAAAACATTCTAATGATGTTTCATAAAAATGTATATAAAATTTGAGGTCTTACATTCTGCCTGAGTGTTACAATTTTTTCTCTTTAATGCATAAGAAACTATCTTTTTTGGTGTTTTAAGGAAATTTTAATGTGCCCTTCACATTACAAACTGTTCCTTTTGAATAGAGTTGAAGAAATCATTTGAACAGCCAGCTATTCCCAGTTTTTAAGTTGAAGGTTTAGTTTATATTTACTCTTGGTCTTTTGCATGATCTGGCACTATCAAAATAAGCTGGCTTATTCTCCAATGGGAAAATACATTTCACAACTGAGAATTAAGTGTTGTTATGCAAAGTCATAGGATCCTTGTGTCCCTAGCTCCTAATTTTATTCCAGTGACAAGAATATTACTAATAAAACTCAAAGGAACAAAGAAGTCCAATAGAACTTGACTGGAACTCTGTGGTCAAAAGCTTGGTGCTTTAGATTAAATGTGGAATAGATTGAACTAGACAAACCCTAAGGTTAAGTGTGATTAGTTAGGAATTCTATATTTATATAGCTTAGAAAGGATAAGTTTAAAAGCAATACACCATATTCTTCACCACTGGGAATAGGTCCCGCAATCACTTCAAAACTATATAGGTCATATTTTTCTGGCATTTGATACTTGCTGTTTTGCTTTCCAGGTCTTTCTGCAGGTTCTGTGATTCTTATCTGCTTGATTGGGGCCACGTTACAGATGATATCAAAATACAGAGTACAGTAAGTTCAGTGCATGCTTAACCAAAATTCACTACAGGTTTCAGCTTCTTGCCTGAAACTAAACATAGAAGCACCAGTTACATGAAAGGAATATAGCAATGTGAGAACTGGAATACAGTGTCTTATGCTATATACAGGAAGCCTTATCTGTAAGATCTTAAAAGATAATGAACACTTATCTAAATGATGTATAATCAGATGACACATTATAAAAATTCTAGAAAACAGAAAGAAAAGATCCCAGAGGTAACAACTGTAGATATTTTAGTATATTAGTACCTGATCTTTTTATCATGTTCTTTTTTTCTTTTCTCTTTTTAAACTAAAATTTTGGCAGTATAGACTCCTGCCTTAATATTTTTCATTTTGCACATGTACATAGTTTGTGTCTTTAAGTCATGCTTTCCTTTTTATGACATAATAGCGTATTGTTCTATTATATGTATTTCTGTATTGTGGAAATGTTAGGTTGCTTCCACATTGATCTTAAAATAAATAAAGATATGAGGAATACCTTTTAATAAACATTTCACAGGTACATGTACTTATTTCCAGTGCTTCTTTCTGGAATTACTAAGGACAAATGTATGATGTTTTAAGATACTTAATAAATATTGTCAAGTAATTTTCCAGAAGGTTTGTTCTAACATGATCAAGTATCAAGTGATTAATGTATTTGTGTTTGCTGTATTTGTGAATTTGTGTTTCTGGACTCCTTTTCTGCTTTATTGATATGACCATTTTATCAAATCTACTTTGTGTTGCTTTAGCCAGCATGGTTCTGTTGGCTGGGCATGGACCTGCGAGCCCAAAGGTCACTGGTTTGATTCCCAGTCAGGGCACCTGCTTGGGTTATGGGCTTCTGTGCTCTGCCCTCTCACGTGCTTACAGAAGGCAGAGGACAATCAGTTGATGTTTCCCTCTCACATTGATGTTTCTCTCCTTCTCATTCTCCTTCCCTTCCTGTCTTTCTATAATAAAACTTAAAAAAATACTTCTAGTAAAAGAAAAAAACCGCTTTATGTTGAAAAAGTATGGCTTTCTACTATTTGGTAGGGCAGGAATCCCTTTGCTATAATTTTTTAAAAATTTTTTCCTCTCTTCTCTTCTGTTTGTTCTTTCAGGTGATTTTTTGATCATTTGTCATTTTCTAAAAGCAAATACGTTATGATTGCATTTAAGTCTATGATTACTTTGGGAGAAATTTGTGTCTTTTCTGTGATGTCTTCCCAGACACACACTAGGCCTTTCTTCTGTTCAACTAATCTTTCACTCAGTTGTTGTTTTCATGACTTAAGTACATCACTAGGTTTCTGTGTTTTGTTATATTAGGTGTTACTGCACAGTAATTAGACATACCATTACTATTTTTTGATTTATTAATTTTCAGTACATTTGAATCTATAATGTTACCAAAGTATGTCATGTAATATTTGGCGAGGATGCAAAACAAATGATCAGTACTTGAGATTTTTGATCAGAAAAAGTTCCACATTGAAGGAGATCTTTTTTTTGGTGCATCTGTGCCTTTAGCTAAGATCAAGTGAAGGTGATGTTTTAGGTGAGATTGAAGAGAATGTAGACAAGAATGGAAAGTTAGTGCGGGTCGAAGGAGCCATTTGAATAAAGACCCGGAGGCTTATCATTCTACTGTTTATTGTGAGAACTACATAAGCAATTTGACATGACTGGGAAATAAGCGAAGGTGGCACAGGTTAAGGGGGAGACAGTGGAATAAAAGTCCCCTTTGACACATAAATCTGGTGGAAATTATAGGGTGCTCTGTCCTGCGCAAAGGATACATTATTAGCACATGACACCATCATGTATCAGCCTGGGAATGTTCTGTGTGCAGAGTTCTCATGTCCCTGTACATGACGGTGTTAGGGAGGATAATCAGATGAAGTCTTACCAAGTCTCGGATTCCGGTGCGGGGTGACCAGGTCATGTCACCCCAAACATACCACCCACAAACTCCACAAAGCAAAAGTTTCTTTAATATTCCAAGTCACCTGGATCTTTTATCTAGTATACAGCCAGGACCATCTGATTACATTGGTCACAGTTGTGTATGTCTAGTCTAGCTTCAGACGTGAAGGGACTACATTGAACCTATGCAGTTATAGTATCGATGAACCTGAGTAGTTTGTTCTAAGCCAGGGAAGGCCTGAGCAGGGCAGGTCTGGCAAGGGTCTACATTTGGGATGGACTTCAGACTATCGTGTTTACCAGCGGATGGTGTTATGAACGACTTACGGAGAAAGGGCATTCTATGACCAGATAAGATGGAGAAATCCTGCATACTGTATTTTTCTCATGGGGATTCACAATCACCATGAGAATAATTAAAGTCCTTTAATGAAGAAGCCAGTTTAATGTTTTTTAAACCAGAGTTTCCCAAACTAATTCGACTGCGCAACTCTTTTTTTCTCACATAATGCTTTTAACATCCCTTGGAACTAATGTTCCATTTAACAGACGTTTGGGGAATCTAGAAAGGTGGTCAGGAGCTAGATCCTGCAGGCCATAAAAGGGAGTTGGTGTTTATTTTATAGGAACTTAAGCAAGGAAAAAATATGTTCAGATTTGCATTTTGACAAAGGGGTGGGACTGAGCCATCGACCAGAGCAGCCGTGGCAGGGATTGAGGGGATGGGACAGATGTTAAGAGGAATCTTCACTGTTAAGAATACAAGATTCCCAAGACTGTGCAGCCTGTTGAATGTGGGGAGAAACAGGCCCAGAGAACGAGTCAGGAGGCGGTCGCTGGGTGGTCCTAGGGTTTCACCAAAATAGGAGAGGTGCATGTTTGTGGGGAAAGATGATGAGTTCAGTTCTGTCCATGCCACTTTGTGGCACCTGTCATGTAGGACACAAGAGAGGGGCCAGGGCTCAGGTAGGTGGCATTTAACTTACAGCTGAAGCTTTGGGCCCAAAAAGAGCATCAAAGATAAAAATAAGTATGAGAAACAGTGACGTCGGGACAGTAATGCTTAAAAGGAGGAGCAGAAGAACAGTCAGAGGTAGGAAGAAAGCTAGGAGACAGTAGCTTCACAGAATTGCAGAGAGAAAAAAGTCTCAAGGAAAAAATTGGGATGTCATTTGCGTGGCTTTCCTCACAGGAAGTTGGAAGATAATTTTAGCCAAGAGTAATTACAAATTTAAATAAATAGAAAATGTGGGCTCTATCTCTTTCCTTCATTTTCCTTCCTAAGTTTGCTATCACGACATGGCATGTGTGGGAGAACTTTCAACCTTTCGAAATGTCTACAAACTCAAATAATTCATAGTATTGCAGTGTGATCATTAATTTTATTAAGATAATTGTATCACATGTTATTATTTAAGTGCCTCAGTTGATATAAGCCAAACAAGTTCAATTTATTTTTTGAAAGTTGATAATCGGCATTTGAGTTGCCTTGAATACTTTTTGTGAATGAGACGAATGATCATTTAAAAATGGATGGGGAGCAGGATCACCACTGGGACGGGGGGATGTTAGGGGGTGGAGGTGTGAGCAAAGAGGAGAAAGGACTCACGGACATGGACAGCAGTGTGGGGATTGTGGGGAGCAGGCGGTATAAGGAGACTAAATGGCAATGAAAAATAATAAACTCAATAAAAACAAAAAATGTTAATAAAAATGGATGTCTGCTATGGACATGGACAACAGTGTGGGGAAATGACCGTGGGAGTTAGGGTGTGGCCTTGGAGGGGGACAAAGTGGGAAAAATTGGGACAACTGTGATAGCATAAACACTAAAATATTTTTTTAATTCGATAATATTAAAAAATGGATGCCCTTTAACAAAATTAAATATTTATAAAAGTCATCTAAACATTTGAAGGAGAAACTATATTATTCTTTTCTAGGCCTCTAATATATTTTGATAAAATGTAAATATCACATTGACCTAAAATTGCCATTTTATCATATTCTGAATGGATCTTCCTATAAGCTGACTTCTTAATTGTGGTAGTGAGAGACATACTATAAGTAGCCTTAGAAGTAGTTTTTCTTTCCCAGTAATTTTGTAATACTTTATTTCTGAGTTCGGCAAGGTATCTTAATCACATTTTCTTGTCCTTTGCTAGTTTTGGCAAAGTCATTTTAGAAGAACAGGAAAGTGTATGTGCTTTCAAAGAGGAAAAGTAAAGATGTCCTCTTAAAAATCATAGAAAGCTTTCAGTGCTGTTTGATCAAGTGAGGATTTTGAATTAAAGATCAAATACAAAAATTTCCTTTTAAATTAAATTGGAAGTTTATGTCCCAAAAAGGTAAACCTATGATTATATCCTTAAAAAAAAAAAAAAGGCTTTAATTTTTTTTTTCAAACTGGGGGTCATAGTGAGTAATTAAAAACCCTGGATCTGATAGAAACCTGCTTAGTATCAACTTTTGATTTGGACACTTGGCAGCCTAGCAAGTTGTTTATTTTTACAGGCCTTTCCCCCAAAATGGGGATTTTAGTGATTATTTCTTAGGCTATTTAGGGCAATATAATGGAATCATCCATGAAAAGTACTTACCATATATTGGGAATTATGGAAAGAAAACAGCTGTTACATGTTTATAGTAATCGTGGTGAATGAGTAAAGATTTTACTTTTTTTTCCTTCTTCCTTTTAGCAATTATTACACAAATAAAAGCTCTGCAGAAGATCTTCATTTAGAAACACGAGAAGTATATTCTATTGATCCATACAACCCAGCAAGCTAATCAGAAGACAAACTGGTATCTAATGAAAATGAAATATTTTTTATTAATTTCTATGTCAAAATATCCTTCAAATTCTATTTATCAATAAGAATAGTGCAAAGTATGTATGGTTCTATTGCACAATTTTTAAATAATCTTGCATAGAAATTAATTAGGTCATATTGCCAATTAATGTTTCTGTTATTTTTTAATTTATCCATTCAACAAGTATTTGAATAAATAAAATGATTAAGAATACTATGAATAAAAAGATGGTATTATGAAAACAAATAAAGTAAATAACAAATAAACAAAGGGGATAGATAGGGCAAGGTGGTTAGAGGGGAACTTCTCACTGAGCAAATGGCATTTGAGCAAAGAGTAGAGTGAAGTAAGGAGCCAGCCATGTGGGGGAAGAACATTCCATGAAGAAAGATCAGCAAGTGCAAAGACCATAATGCATTATGTGCATGCTGTGGCCAGTGTGGCTTAGCATGGACTAACTAAAGAAGAAAGTGGTAGGGATGAAATCAGAGAGGTAAGGGAAAGAGGGTGATGATGATGACGTAGAGTATGGTAGGTCATTCAGTGAGTTTATTCTGAGACGGGAACCATTGGAGGGGTTAAGTGGGGAAGCAAATGATCATTGTAACTGCTGTGTTAAGAACAGTGTAGGAAGCAAGGGCAGATGATGGGGAATCAGTGAGGACTCTACCACAATAATGCAGGCAATGAGTGGCTACCACCAAGCTAGTGAGAAGAGGTCAGGTTCTGCATGCCTTTTTAGGATAGTGACAGTAGGGTTTGTTGCCAGTTTATATTAGAATATGAGAGAGAGGGAGGAACCAGTAACAATACCAGTGTGTTTTGGCCTTAGAAAGTGAAAGGATAGAATTGCCATCAATTAAAACACTTGAGAACTTGAAAGCCAAAATTGCAAGAAAAACCAGAAGTTCCACTTTGAAGATGTTAAATACGAAATAGAAAATAGACATCCAAGTAGAAGTGCCAAGAAGGCAGCTGGATGTACAAAATAGATACAGGGTCAAGATACAAATTTGGGCCCTGTTGGTGTATGGACTTACATCATAACAAGATCGAATAAGATCCTCAAGGGTGAGAAGGAGGCTAGGGAACAGAAAAGGTCCAAGGGCTGAGTCTTGGATCCTCCAACATTAGGAGTCATGGATTGAGAAGGAACCAGCAAAGAAGCATCCTTGACACAGGAGGAAACCCCCTGTGTGTGGTCCTCTAGAAGTCATATGAAGGAAAAATTGCAAGGAGGAGGGAATGATCACCTCTGTCAAATGCTGCTGATAGGTCAAGAAAAATGAGGAGTGAAAACTGCCCATTGTGTTTAGCAGCACAAAGCTCCTTGGTAAACTTGAGAAGAACTGTTTTGGTAGAAAGGAAGGAAGCAAGACCCTTACTGAAGTGAGCATGAGAGAAAGTGAAAGGAGAAAAATTGGAGACATCACCTATGGACAACCCTTGCAAGGAGTTTTTTCTGTGAGGAAGAACAGATAAGTAGAGTGAAGGCAAGAGTAAGAAGGAAATGAAGGGAAATACTTTAAAGAATGGAGACATGGCCGCTATGCTGCTATTCCTGTGTGCTGATGAGAACGATCTAGGAGAACGTGGGAAAATGATGGCAGGGGAAAAAAAAAGGCAGAATTGCTGGGGCGATGTCTGGGTAAGTGAGAAGGAATGGCATGGAGGGTGCGAGCAGGGTAGCATAGACCTCAGATAGGAGCACGGCCTTAGGAACAGGAAGGAAAGCAGAACATATGGGTGCAGATGAAGGCAGGTGGGGAGATGTGGTGAATACATGTGTGGGTGTTCTCTTCTGATGGTTCTATTTTCACACTGAATAGAAAGTAAAGTGAACAGCTGAGAAGATTGGGAAAGGAGATGATAGGGATTTAAGGAGAAAGGAGAAGGCATTAAGTAGCCACCCTGCATTGGCAAGCAACATCAAGGGTCCCCCAGAGGTTTCCAGGAGAAAATGGGAGTGAACAGTTAAAGGTGTACTGTGCCCAGATATTGTGCTGAGAGTCTCTCATGCCATATCTCCTTTAGCTCAGAGTACAACACTGAAAGTTGAGTGTTACCCCAAGAAAATACCAAGGTAAGCAGATAATATCTGAGATGAGAAAACCAGGGCTAAACGATTCTCTTGACCATGGTCTCGGGTCAGTGATTGGCAAAGGTAGATTTCAAGCTCAAATCTGACATAAAACTGCTTTCCTTTACATAATGTATAAAATAAAGATACCACCTCTGACCTCTTAGAACTTATACAGTAAAATTAAAAATAGGACACATACATAGCAGAGTGTAAGAATACATTGGGTAAAGAAGATACAGAAAAACTGCTCTGGCAGTAGAGCAAGAAGAGCTTACTTGCTGCTGCTGAGTCAGAACAAAGGGGTTGCGGAGAACAGGGTCAGGCCGTACCAGAGGGATCGGTACATTCAAAGTCATGGGGATCCAGAGTAAAGCTATTAATTTTTTCTTCAATGAATATGTAAATAAATGAGAATGAGACTCTTGCTTCAGTTTCTCCCTCACTTTCATTTCTATTTATCGATATAATATTTAATTGCTATTTGTTTTATATCGTATTATCTGAAGAAGGACCTCTTAATAGAATGATATCTTCTTATAGGCTTCATGCTTCATTGGTGATAGCACTTATAATTGGTATATACAGAGACTGGTAACACTGCCATTATTTAAACTTTGATTTGCACCCATGTTATTTGTGCTGCTACCTAAACACAATTATCTATTTCAGTGTGCCTTCTTGCTTGGAATCCAACTGAATGTGGATTGGAAAGAAACCATTTGCATATCAGCAAGTAGGGGCTCAACATCAATGAAATGATTTCACAAGCTATTTCTTCCTATTTGCACTTATTCTGAAGCAGAACAATGAAAGTTTGCTTGATGATAGAGATGGGAGCCCAGTTTCACTGCCACACGCTCTTCAAGGAGCTTTGAAGCCTAACCTGTGATGTGTCTGGAGTCAGGCTGTGGCTGTAACCAATTGCACAGCTTGGACGGTGTCATCTTTTCAAAGGCAGGCACTAAAATGAACTGTCCATCTATGCAGACTCTTCTTTTTGTAATCAGCATGCTTACTGTTACCATATACTTTTGGTTATAGTGTGGTTTTAATTATTTAAGCAAACTATGAAGCATTTCTTGGGGTTAGTATGGACATACCTTTGTTGGGAAGTCTGATTTTATTTTAACAATGGATTCCTTTTCAGATATGGTTAAACATTTCACTTCTATTTCCACTTGGTTTGAGTTTTTCTCACAATATATTGCCTTTGGTTATTGGATTTCTGGCAAAGTTTATTGGTTTACTTGTTGCTTTTCCATAATCACTCAGTAATTCTAATTTGCACAATTTTTTTAAGTTATGAAAGTCAAGTTTTAATTCTAACATTTTTGTATACTATCAATCTGTAGATATTTCCTTGACGGTTTTGTCAGAAGCTCTAGTTGCTTGTAAAATGTCACTTGATATTATGTACATTAGTTATTCAAATAAATTTTATCTTAAAACCACCTGCCTTATATAATTTTTATTTCTGGATTCAATGAACTATTGAATACACAGACACAGGGTTTTTAGAGTTCATGATTTAGCATTCATGCATTCTGATACCACCTCAATGTCTCTTTGGATTAAGTCTTAATCTACAAACTCAATTCCTTCTTCCTCAAGAGTTTCTCTTATATTTGTCTAGCTAACACATTTCCACAACCAATCACCACACTCTTCCTCTCTGACCACACTCTAAATCCAGTTGTCAATTTTCTCTCTTCCAGCATTTAAACCCCTGAGGAAATAAAATCTTGCTTCCTGGCTACCAAAAATTTACTCTCCCTGACTATGTATGCTATTTGTGGTATTTTTTAAAAATTGTGGTGAAAATTAGCCCTGGCTGCTGTGGCTCAGTGGATCAAGTGCCAGCCTGTGAACCAAAGGGTCACCGGTTTGATTTCCAGTCAGAGCACATGCCTTGGTTGGGGGCCAGGTCCCCAGTTGGGGGTGTGTGAGAGGCAACCACACATTGATGTTTCTTCCCCACTCTTTCTCCCTCCCTTCCCCTCTCTCTAAAAATAATTAAATAAAAAATTTAAAAAATTGTCTAAAAAGTATAAAACATAAAATTTTGTGTCTGAACCCTTGTTAAGTATAGTGTTCAGAAGTGCTGAGCGCGTTTACATCATTGTGAAACAGATCTCTAGAACTTTCCCATCTTAAAAAATAAATGCTATTCCTACTACACAATAACTCCACAGTCCCCCTTCCCTCCAGTCCCTGGCAACCATCATTCTACTTTCTGTTTCTATGAATTTAACTACTTTTGCTACTTCATATAGGTGAAATCATACAGTATTTGCATTTTGTGACAGACTTATTTCACTTAGCATAGTGTCTTCAAGGTCTATCCCTGTTATAACATGTCAGAATTTTTTCTTTCTTTTTCAGGCTCAATGGTATCTCATTGCACATTTATACAACATTTTGTTTATGCATTCTTTTGTCGATGAACATTTGGCTTGCTTTCGCCCCGTGGCTGTTATGCATAATACTGCTGCAAACACGAGTGTGCAAATATCTCTTCAAGACATTGCTTTCAATTCTTTTGTATATATACCCAAAGTAGGATGTAGTTCAGCATCTTTTATTCATTCCTATCTTCACCTTCATTTCTTTAAATTATCTTTTCACTCAGGCCAGCTACTGTAATCTTTCATCATCTCTATTTTCATCTTTCTCTGGACAAACGATGAAAACATCACAGGACAACTCTCAACTTCCTCCACCTCCAAGCTTATCTATATCCACTCGTCATTTCCAACAACCACTTTTCAGAGATTATACTCTTCTTTCCCATCCTCTTCCCTTTCTTCCAGGACATTGCTCCATTAGTTACATGCTCTCTCATCACTGGCTCCTTTCCACCTGTAAACCTGCTCAAGTTAGTACCCATTCACTTGCAAGTGACAAAAATCCATCTCACACTGGCTTAGACCAAAATAGGATTTTATTGTGTCACATAACAGCAAAGATCATGGGTGCAGTTGGTTTCAGTCAAAACAGGAATTAAATATTCAAATCACATTCTTAGGAATCTGTTCCATCCTCTCTCCACTTTACTAACCTCTGCCTGTGGTTGACACTCCCCTCAAAACTGGAAAAATACTTGCTGACAATGCCAAGCACACACCTCATCAGCATAGCAGTCCAGCAAAAAGGGTTTTTCCTGTCCAATAACCTCTTCAAAAATCCCTTCATTAGCTCTGATTTGTCAAACATGGGCCACATGCCCTCAACTGAATCACTTACTGGGGCCAGTGCAGTGAAATAGCAGATGACAAAGCCTGAGCTGCCTGCCCAGGCTTGGAGCTGATCAACCTCAGTGGTTCTTAAGTGGGGTGACCAAGTTCTCCCAGAGGACACTGGCAATGTCTGTAGACATCGTTGGTTGTTAGAGCCGAAGGAGGGCAGTGTTTTGGCATTTAGTGGGCAGAGGCCAGATATGCTGCTAAACATTCCACATGCACAGGACAGCCTCCCACAACAAAGAATAAGTTGTTTTAACTGTGTCTCATGTGGAAAACCATGGCCTATGTGAACCACATGGAACTAAGTGAAGGAGGGAATTCCCCAAGGGAATAATCAGGGGGCCAATTCCAGATGAAAGGGCCCACTTTAAGCAGCCCAGCTGAAAACAAATCCTCCAAAACCATCCATATTTCTCTCTTAAGCTATTTCCTTTACCACGAAATTATCTGAAAAGGTGGTCAACCTTAGTTACCTCAATCATTTCACTCATTCACTCAACAAATAATTACATACATCCTTCAGTGTGCTAAGCCATGTTTTAGGCCATAGGATAGAGCAGTGATAAAATGAAAGTCTTCATGTAGCCTTCATTCTAGTGAGGAGAGAGAAACAATGAGCAGATTGACAAGTTATAATGGAACAAATAATATAAGTACAATATTTTAAATTATATAAAAGAGTGAAAAAAAGAAAGTTCAATGAATGTGCAATTGTTAATAGTGGCCAAGGAAGGCTTTGTTGATGGGGTCACATGTGAGCAAAAGAACCCAAGATGAGGGAGGTAGCCATGCAGATAGCTATCTGGTCAGCAATTCAGAAAGTGTTCCACGCAAAAGGAACATTAGAAGGAAAACGAAGAACTATGCCTGCTATATTAGAAGAAATAACAAATATGTATACTTATGGTAGTTTCCATTAGAAAAGGAAAAATAGTGATGCTGAAGAGAGAGGAGGATTCCTGGAGTGATGTTTTTGAGCAAGTAAAAGCAGATGAACAAGTTGTCCTGCACTAGGAGAGACGGAGAAGTGAGCCTTAGATAATGGTGTGAACAGTGGAACCGTAGATCTTCGGCTGAAGTGATATGAGAAGTTTGTGGAAATCTGTTTTGATTGCTTCTATTTTCTCCAAAAAATAGCAGAAGCATTATTAATAGACTTAGAAAATAGTAGGAGACTTCTACATTCAACATCGATATAAAAAATATGAAATAGTCACTTAGGAGAATGACAGAGTAAATGGACTAGGCAGATACCGTAGGAATACCTGGCAGCATTACAATGGTCCATTTGAAATGAGTTGTCTTGAAAGTAAGACCAGTCATCATGGATACATGCTTTTCTCCAGCCATGTGCAGTTTCTAGGGTACAGGGGCAAAATTATGGAGAATTGGCTCTAACCAGGATTACTCTTTGTCTAATGCATATGATAAGTGAGAGAAGAGCAGTGGCGCTGAGGCTGCATACAAGACAGAGATTACAGTGAGGGAACAGGGAACTTAACTCAGTAAGTCTGAAAGTGAGGACACCAGATGGTTTGAGACTGAAAGATGGTGGTAAGATAAATGGGTGGTAGGCACTGAGAAATAAAAAGGTTGCTGGGATGACAGCAAACTAGAAGGGCAGGACTGGTAGTTGGATGGTGAGATGGTTGAAACTCTGGAGGGTTTGCAGTTATTAATGAGGACAAGATCTAAGGTACTTCCATAGGCATGAGTGGCAGAGTAGAGTGAAGGACAAGATCATTGGTAGAGTAGATCAAGGCACTGAAAGGCCAGGTATTTGAAAATAACATTGCTTTGAATATTGAATCACTGAGGGGTGTGAATGCAGTAAGAGTGGTGAAGGTTGCTGTGAGCTAGGAGCTAAAACCTCCAAAGAGACAGCAGATGTGAGGGGATTAGCGCAAAAGAAGTGGTAATGGGTGGTGTATTCTGACGGCATGTGATGTAAGGCTGGGAGTTGAAGCTTCAATTCCCTTTTCATCAGTCTACTAACATCTGGCTGCTTCTTCCATTGCTCTGTTGAGAACAGCTTGAAAGGATGATAACAGGTCCTTGAAAATATGGTACTATGTGTATTGAAATGGAGGTGCAATGAGTGATATGATCAAAATAGATATTTTTTGGCAGTACAGCCTTAGAAGAGCAACTGATGGAAACTAATGGAAAATAAAAAACACTTCTCGCATTTGGGACACTGTCCTTTCTCCACTGGTGAGAGTCAGAGCTGAGACTTGAATAAAAGGGACAAATGAAGTAAGACAGTGTCCAGGAAGCCTTGTATGAGCTAAGGCTAAGCATGCTGAGTTACGGAGGTTTGCTGGACTGTGGGTCTCCACTTGTGAAGCTGCACTCAGTGTAGTTTTCCACCGCAAGGGTCTTAGCTCCACCATGCGTCACAGCTATGCATGGAGGAGAAAAGAGCCAGCACATTCACTGACATATCTGCTACAATACCTTTTCAAGCCTCTTCCTACCCTCTCTCTACAGTACTTAATATTTGGAATTCCTCCACTCTCCACACAACTCATTCCAACTCTTGCTTTAGAAACAACTGACTTTGGTTCCCACTAAGTTTGAAATCTGGGTTCTAGCCTCAGAGGCTACAGACCTCTAAAAATTCATGGCTAGGACTTACTCTATATAACTGGTTTCCTTTGTAATTCATGTACTTTATTTTATACATTTGAAAATAATCCTGAGAAGGAATCCATAAGATTGACCAAATAGGCAAAGGATCCATAAATATTTCCTTCCCAAAGAGCCTCTTGTTGGGCCTTTCTGGAAGTCCAGCTTCATAATCAACAAACTATCTATATTCCCACCCTTTACGGAGAACATTCCCACACCCCCGGACCTCAATAAATTCCACCTGTCCCATACCCAAGACTTTATCAATTAAAAAAAAAAACAACAAGAAAAAAACCTTTTATGCTTTTTCTTGATCCAGTAACTCTCTTTTCCTCTCTCATATTTGTTCCCTGTTGTTATGGTAACATGTTGCCTTGTGGGTAAAAATGACACAGGTTTATTCTTTTACAATTCTGTTCAGAAGTCCAAAAAGAGTCCGATAGGGCTAAAATCATGGTGTGAGCACGACTGGTGCCTTCTGAAAACTCCAGGGGAGAACTGCTGACTTGCTTTTCCAGCTTCTGGAGATGACTGTCATTCCTTGGTTTATGGCAGTATTGTTCCAATCTCTGCCTCAGTCACCACCTTCTCCCCTCTGATCTACTGATTTCCTCTAACCAGGACCCTGTGATTGTATTACCCACCCAGATAATCCAAGGTAATTTCCCCATCTCAAGATTCACAGAACCTCTCGTCACATAAGGTAACATACTCACAGGCTCTAGGGATGAGGACGTGGACATCTTTGGGGAGCCATTTTCAGGCTACCACACACTCCCATTTCTCCCGTCTTTGAACTCTTAACCTCATGCTCCAAATATGTCCCACCCTCACATTTTTTTTTTATTCTAATCAATTGTAAAACCATTCATTTAGAATCCTGGAGCAAATTATCATTTTACTTTTCTCACCACTAACTTTAAGAAAAGAAGTAACCAATCTCCAATGCGCAAGCAAATTTTGTTCATTCCATCTCCAGCATCTTTTTAATTGTCCACTTTATCCCCAGCCAAGGCCAGTATCAAATCTAACCTGGATGATGGCAAAGCCTCCTCGGTGGCCTGTCCATCTGTTACTGTCTTATTCCAAACCAATCTTCATACTGAAGACAGAATTATATTTTAAAACTTCAAATCTAATTAAGTCACCCTCTTGAGAAAAAATAAAACTTTCAATGCCTTGGTATCTCTCAATTCAACATAAAGAAATTGCTTCATCGTCCCTCTACCCTGTACATGTTGTCTGCAACTGTCGCTTCAACACAGACAGCAAGCATTTCATGAGCTCACTACCCCCGCAAATTCTTGCAAAGGGCAAAAGTCAGAGAGGAGTGTAAAGCAGCTGAGCTGGTAGGATCCACTTCCTTTGGAACTGCCCGTTCAGGCAAGCAAAGCACCTCGAGGAACTGAGCTTTGCTAGATTTTGTTTCTTTACGCAGGTCCCTAAGGTGGTCTCTGGGAGGCAGACTCTTTAGAAACAATGTAAATTGCGAGTAAACAAGACCTCGCCCATTAAGGGGAAGCTGTGGTCAAAAGGTTTTTGTCCCGGAACCCCAACCTCGCTCCCCAAACCCTGGGGGCGCACCCTTGTCTGTGGCCTCCGTCCTCTGAGCTGCGCTTCCCCATGACTTGGATATTCCAGATTGCATCGGGTTACTAGAGGTGCTTGGGGAAGATGGGAGGCTCTTCTTCCAAGAGCCAGGAGCCTCTCTGGCCGCCGGCGCCCCTTCTCTTCTGCTCCGGAGGAGCCTTCCTGGCGGTTCTGGTGCTGCTCGCGCTGCCGGCAGCCTGGGGTGAGACGCGCGCGGGCGTGGGGAGCGGACCCGCGGGCAAGGCAGCCGCTGGACGTGCGGCTCCTGGGGTTTCGTTTTCAGAGGGCTGAGCTTGCGAGAGGGCGAGGGCAAGGGAGCGGGGAGCTCTGGGATCCCCTCTGCGTGCCCTCCTTGCCTCTGGGTAAAAGGTCGCGTCCCCGCTTGCAGGGCCCTCTGCCGTGCCTCGCGCGGATGAAAGCGCAGGTGCTAAAGCGTGCTGCGCGAAACGCCTGCTCTTCCCGTAGGGAGAGAGGCTGGCTGTGTTAGAACGCGTCGCTTATCCTAGTGGAAGAAAAAGGTCTGGAAGGCCGACTGGCCTGGGTCTTAAGCCTAGAAACTTATTAGCTGTGAAGAAAGTGGATACCCTTGCCCGCGTCCGTTTTCTCACGTGTAAAATGGGAACACTGATATCCCTATCTCGTGATGTTGCTCCCAAAATGGCACAGAGCATGCCAAGGGTCTACCACAGTGCCTGCCAGTTCATTTCTATTCCCCCGCCATTAGCTCTGTACTTTGTTCATAAGAGTGTTTGGACAAGCGGTCCCGGGAGGTGCAGTTTTCAAGTGAAATTCCCGCATCGGGCTATATTCAGCCCACTCACAACCCAAACCACCCACCTCCATCATTAATGTGAACGTACCGAGTGCCTACTTTAAGAGTCCTTGCGGGCTCTTGGTGTTAGAAGAGCTTGCAAAGTTCCAGAACCCGGTGTAGGTAGCCTCAGGTAGAAGGAACTGTGCAGAGGTTTATTTACTGTCTTATTTTACTCATGTGGTTAGTACAAAATAAAGCCTATTTTAACTATGATGGAAATTTTGGAGCTGCCCCTTTCCTTCCTTCCTATTAACTTCAGATAGGTAAACAACTTCAATAAACAACTTCACCTAGAACCCTTGTCTTCTGTTCGGCTTTCCCAGGGGACTTCTTAGTTGCTTCAACTCATTGGCAACATCTCAGTTAAGTGACAGTCTTGACTCTATTTGTCCAGCTTCTTCTTGACAAGGGAGTTTGCTCTTCACTGTCACTAGGTGCTTTACATTCATTGTTTCTCTTCTAAGGAAGGGGAAAAAAAAATAAGTTTTCATAAAAGTTGGTATTAATATTTTCTCTCCTTAGACATGAAAAGCTCCCCAAGTAAGATAAGTGATCTGCTGCCAGTGCTTAGAAACTGTTGTTGACCTTGTGAATATCTGGTTCCCTTCTTGCTAGGCTGTCGTTATAGTTTGCCTGTGTTTAGTAAGTTACTGTTGTAGAACAATCACAGATAGTTAACTGGAAGAAAAAAACAAAAAAGATTTACCAAGGTTATGACAATAACTCGCTAATGTGGAACAACTTAAACTAAACAAACTAGTGATTTACTTGCCAAAGTAATTTAAATAAAGGAAATGCTGCTGGAAGGCTGACAATATCACCGCGCTTCAGATTGAAAAGAAGCATGAGAGAGCTATGCCCCCAAGGTGGATGCATATAGACAAAGGGCGGTGGGGTTTTATGTAATCTCTGCCATGAAGAGGCCAGAATTCTGGTTTTCCAGCATCTGCCAGTTACCAAATGGGGGCTTTGGATCCAGTAAGCCAATTAACATCCCTAATTTGCAGTGTCTATGAATATAAAATGAACATAATCGACATTGGGTCATCTGAGAGGGCTATTGCAAAAATCACAAGAGGAAATATATGTGATGGTGTTTTCATAGTCTGAAAATTCCCGACCGGATCCTGACTAGGAAGTCACAAAAGAGAATCTAGAGGCTACAGGATGACTGCTATGGAGACATCTCAGCTTCAATGATCAGAAAAGGCTGAGTGGAAGCAGCATGGCTTAAGCGGCACTTTAGAAGTTAATCTAAACAATAGTCGTACGGGTTGATTGTAAGAGAGTTGATAAAATTCATCACACTAACGAAGCAGTTCTGGGACAGTGTTTAATATAGGGCAGTCTCTGTCGCCCTCTCCTGGGCCTCAGGTCAGTGGCACTCTTGTGCCCTGCTGCGCAGAGATGCAAGGTAGAACGGGGGAGATGGAGGATTCAGGTTGCGTTCTGTGTTTTGTGAGATTTCAGTTTACCTATGCTCAGATGAGAAATTTTATGCCTTCTATTGCCTAGTTATACCTACTGTAACCTTTATGATTGGACAAGTAACTTTATAATTTTCTCGCATGAAAACACAGTGTGAAATAATTCTAATGAGGTCAACTCAAGCAAACAAGAAAATGGCATACCTGACAACCACTCTTACACACACATGGACACACAAACACACACAGACATATGTATGAGCTCTTTGTCAGAGACATTAAGAGGAAATCACAGTGTCAACTTCATCACAACTAAGTTGACAAAAACAAAAATGTAGAAAATATCCAGGAACTAGTTGAAATATATTCATCCATCATTTTTAATAGAGAAGCTCCCTGTAACTGTATTTTGTCCTTTTATTTGTTAATGATCATATTAAATTATTATTAACAAAACACCCATAATGTTTATTTCATTTGTACCCTGTTTATTTAAATCTCAATTTGTATGCAGTATACAATATTAGTATACACATACAATTTATATACAATATCAAATATAAATATTAAAATATAGTATTTACTGACATGCATAATGACAATTGTATTATGTGTCTTTTATATGACATGTTTATATACAAAAATTATGTTACATTTATAATCTACAACATATATAATACATAATGACATTATACATTATAATTATATCATTATATACAATAGCCTTATTAAGCTATATTATATATTATAATATATACTATGAGTTATAGTTTGTATATATTGTTTATATAAAATGTAATATTAAATGTTACAGCTCATAATATATTTACTAAATAATTTATATACCAGATACCATATTATATATTATAAATGAGTACATTATGTTACATGTGTTATGTAATATACCAAATGTAATACACAATATGTTTACTTTATATAATACACACTTATACATAGCATAAAGTATATAAAGTTTTAGAGTGCATGATTTTCTTTTTCTTGAACTGATAGCCTTGCTTATGTGGAAGTAATTGTGAATAAATTGTGTTTGTAACAAAAATAAATCAGCCTGCCTTGAATGGAAGGTTTGAATCAGAAGTACTTGAGAGTGGACTGTGTCATCCAAGACAAAAAACTACAATGACGAAATCCACTCACTGGAATGGCTATAATTTTTAAACCCAACCATACCAAGTGTTTGAAATACTAAGGTGAATAAGTGTTTGAATTAATAAGGTGAAGTAGTATGACTGTCATATACTGCTCACTGGTAAAAAGATATAACCACTTTGGAAAAGAGTTTGGCCATTTTTGAAAACGTTAAAAACACATTATCATATGACCTAAGTATGTTCTTGTAGGTATTTACTCATCCACGTATTCAGGAAAGCTGAGATCACTGGGCACTGATCCTCCAGTGCTTTCCCAACAAAATCTACTTATTCCAAACTAGCTCCGCAAACAGAGCACAAAATAAACTCTTGAAAGCAAAGTGAGCATGCCCAACTTTTCAGAATACTGTAACCTACCTGCTGGCATTTTCTTTTTCTAAAAATAATAACTATATTACTATTTATCAAGTGCCTTCTATGTGTAAGGTGCTACTAACTGCTTTGCATTTGGACTCTATGAGCAAACCTACCAGGTAAATATTATCATCAGCTTTCTGAAGGTGAAACTGAGACTCAGTGAAATTAAGCAGCAGGTCAAAGACTTCAGAGCTAGAAAGTAGAGGACATAGGGTTCAAGACCAGGCCTCTATGAATTCAAAGTTTTTAACACTGTATGCCGTTATCTTTTGTATTAATTTCTTGTTGCTGCTGTAACAAATTACCACAGACATAATGGCTTAAAGCAGCAATTTTCCTCCAGCGCGCCACAAGAGGAACACTGGTGTGCCACAAGAATTTTAAACATGCAATAGCTGACTATTTAGTCGGGTACCTTTACTTCCGTAGATTATCAAATTAAAAAAGAAAATGACAACAGCCAACACAACAATAGCAGTCTGGTGTGAATGAATCAAAATTACACCTATTTTTTTTTTGTCAGATTAGCAAAAAAAAATTTTTTTGGTGTACCCCAGGATTATGGTAATTAGTTTGTGTGTGCCCTGAGATGAAAAAGGTTCAAACTCACTGACTTAAAGCAATAGAATGTTTCCTCTTACAGTTCAGGCTGTCAAATCTAAAATTAGTCCATAGGGCTGTGTTCCTTCTGGAGGCTCCAGGACAGCAAGGGCTTTTTCTATCTTCCAGACTCTGCCTATAGCCTTTGGGCTTGTGGTCCCTTTCTCTACCTTCGAAATTAGCAATGCAGCTTCTTCAAATCTCTTTCTTCCGTCTCCTTTGACCCTTTGCATCCCTCTTATAAACACCTTTGTGATTATATTTAAGGCTCACACAAACAATCCAGGATAACCTTCCCATCTCAAGATTCTTAATCACGTTTGCAAAGCCCTAGTGCCACATTATGTAACATTCCCAGGCTCCAGGGGTTAGGGTGCGGGTGTCTTTGGGAGCTCATTGTTTAGCCTGCCGCATGTTTCTACACAGATCTTCAGATCTTCGTTGGCGCTCACTGAGGGAATCCATTACCGTTAGAGTCCAGCTTAGGAGCAAATGGTTATCGCCCAACAACCTGCAGTGTATACATTGAATATGACTAGGGAGAGTTTAAAATACCACTAAATAACTTAAATATATGATAATGATAGAACAAATGGCAGGAGGGAAATAAATGGAGTTAGCATTTTCAATGCTTCTTGCATTATTGGGGAAATGTTAATTACATGTTAATATGGTAAGAATGCATGTTCTCTTTATAGGAACAATAAAAAGAATGTGTAACTAGTAATATAAATAACAATAAAATCATAACTATAATTGATAGTCACAAAGAAGGAAAAATAGAAAAGAATAAAAAATATAGGACAGATAAAAAGCAAATAGTAAGATAGTAGGCCAAATCCCAAATATATCACCAATTATATTAAATATAAACAGATATCTTCACTTTAAAGACATAGATTGTCATACTGCTGCATTTCCCAGACTGAGGTACCCTGGGAGCTTCCATGAACTCACAGGAGACTGATGGGATATTTGAAATTTTCAGTGGAAGCCCAGCAATACTCGGTACCTCTCAGACACTGTGTGAACTGCTAGCACGGCGTTCTTCTGAGATACATTCGGTTGCAGTAGGTTCTCCTTGATGACATCAGATCTTCGCAAAGCTGTGTTTTCAACAGTGGTTGTGATAAAGAAAAAGTACCAAATAAAGATGATATGGAATGGTAAATAAAGTGGCTGTTTACAATCTGATTCTAAGGTTTGAGAATTTGAGCAGTATGCAATAGCCCATTATAAAATTGTGGTGAAAACAAGGCTTACTAAGTTGTTTGGACCCAATTATCTAACAATGGGAACTGTTAGGTGTTTCTTTTTTGGCTAGGAATGACATGAGAAAATTACTGAGACCTTATCAGTGCCATGAACTGAGTGAATTTGGGAACATCTATCATAATGATTAAAAATAAAAACTATATGGTACATACTAAAGAAACAATATACATGTTCAGAGATAGAATGGATGAATACATAAGGCTGGAAAATATACCTTGCAAAAACAAACCAAAGAAACTGATTTTTTAAAAAAATGATTTTTTATTTTTTATGCTATTGCAGTTGTTCCCGCTTTTTCTTCCTTCCTGCACCTCCACCCAACCCTACCCTTTCCTGTCCCCCAAAGAATGCTGATATGGCAAATGAGGAATTGTAACAACTTCGGTCTTTAAATGATCATGAGTGTTTATTCTTAAAATGTTATTGATATATTGAGGAGTAAATCTAAAATCTTACTATTCTTTTCTAATTGTCCTACAAATAAAGTAGACAAAGTAGAATTGGAGGCAAAATTCATAACTAGACATAATATACCACAAAATATAATAAAAATAAAATAAGAAATGGGCAGATTTAGAAAAAGAAATAAGACAAATATACAATAAAATGGAATATTTTAACACAACTACTTTAGCATCTGGTACAATGAGCAGACCACCCCCCCTCCTAAATCAGTAAGTATCTAGGAGATTTGAGCAAATATGATTAACTGTTGATTTGGCCTCACTGATATACCCAGAACACTATACCCATTACCACACACTGTTTCTTTACAAATACGTATGATACATTACATCAGCTGACCAAATGCTGAGACATACAAGTGTCAATCAATTTCATAAGTCTATAATAAATGTACAGCTAAAAATTGCCTCAGCCCTGGCTGACATGGCTCAGTCGGTTGGGTGTCCGTCCCTCAAAGCAAAGAATTGCCGGTTTGATTGCCAGTCAGTGCACATGCTTGGGCTGCAGATCCAGTCCTTGGCTGGGGTGTGTGTGAGAGGCAACTGACTGATGTTTCTGTCTCACATCAGTGTTTCCGTCCCTCTCTTTCTCCATCCCTTCCACTCTCTGAAAATAAATAAATAAAATCTTTAAAATGCCTAAAATGTTTGTAAATTATGCAAAACATTGCTACATAAGCCATGGGTCAAGAAGAAATCACAGTGGCCATTTCCAAATATTTTGAACTGAAAAATGAAAATATGCAGTTGTACACTGGAAACCTATCCTCAGAATAAAATAATAATCTGAATGCTTATTTTAGAAATTATGAAAAGGTGAAAATGAAAACAAATTTAGTTACCAATTTAAGAAATTTATTTTTTAAAAGCTCAGCAAATAAACTCAAGGAAATATCAGTAAAGATAAAATAAAGATAACAGCAAATAGTTAAATCCAAAAGTTGATTATTTAAATCCTACTAAAATTAAATGATTGATCGGTCTCAATGTATCCTCCATTATTTGAATCAGTTAACAGAGTGTATAGGGAGAAATAGAAGATTAATCAAAACAGAAGAGAATATATTTCTGAAACTAATGTAAAATGATAGTTTTCCAGCAAGTATTTCTTCTTGATTACATGTTGTTTAACTCCAAGTGGTATTTTTATTATTTTAACTTAAACCTTTTAGATCTTAAGGGGAAGTAACTGAGTCTAATATTTAATTCAAGATATGCTTTTTAAAACATGTGCCCTCATAAAGTATAGCTTTGGCTTTAGTTGTTGAGCTTTGTCTACAAAGCATATGCTGAATTTTCTTGTGCTGAAGTAATTGACTTGGCAACATCTTTTAATGGTTGTGACTGCTACTGAAGGCCAGAGAAGAGGCTTATAGTCCCGCCAGTTCTGGGTAGTCTGCTGAGAGTGAAGATGGATGGTGAAATGCATTGAGGGCTTCTTATTACACAAGGAGATGGGATAGATGAAGCCAGAGCCCAGGACTTCCTGACTGACTAAAATATGAAGATATAAATTACTTTCCCCTTCAGTGAAAGAATAAATAGATTAGATATATAGATATAGATTAAATAGATAGATAGGTTATAGGTAGATAAGGATATGGATATAGGTATAGATATATCTTAATTGCCTTCAAAATAGTATGGACTTTTTAAAAAATCCTCACCCAAGGATATGTATATTGATTTGAGAAAGAGAGAGAGACAGAGGGACATCAACGTGAGAGAAAAACATCAATGGGTTACATCCCATATGTGCCCTGACCAGGGATTGAACCCACAACCTAGGCAAGTGTTCTACCTAGGGATGGAACTTAAAACCTTTTGGTGTATGGGAAGATGCTCCAACCAACCAAGCCACCCAGCCAGGGCCAGCATGGACTTTTTAAATGTGTAGACATTGATTGAAAAGGCTTATTTCTAAAGTTGCGGCTAAGGGAAGCAATCCTGTCACCATTATTTAAGCATTCATTTTCTTTTTTGATCACGTCTTTGAAGCATATTGGAGAAAAAAGATGAGGTGGAGTAGAAGTTCCTCTGCTGACTTTGATGTCACTGTGATCTTGCTCTTCAGGTCAATGTAAAGCCCCACCTTACCTCCAAACAGCCAAGCCTACAAGGCTGACTGATGAGGATGAGTTTCCCATCGGAACGTCTTTGCAGTATGAATGCCGCCCTGGTTACCAGAAGAGAACTTTCGTTATCACCTGCCTCAAAAATTCAGTCTGGTCAAAACCTGCTCTAAACTGTTCACGTAAGTAACTCTGGACTGAGAACTCCTCTGTATCAGTTAAACATTCATAAGGTCTATGCAATTGTTCAAATATTGGAACTAAGGCACCTATGACTTGATAAGTTCGCCTGAGTGGTAGATGTGAGAGTTATTCCTGTAGGTCATAGCTTCCTACTGCTTTGAGTTCCTGGAACCTTCATTACAAGTTCATTGCACAAGGGGCTATCATTATAAGGCACTATTGTGGGGGAAAAAAATCACTATTTATAAGGGATCTGCCATTTCACAACTGCAATTAATGGAAAGGAAAGTGCAGATAGGGCCAAAAGCCCAGATGCTGAGACCTTCCCACTGGTTGAGTCACAGAGTAAACAAAGAAAGTTTACATTTTTCTGGGAGGCACTGGTGGGGATGACCCAAAACTGGATGGGAGGTCTTTTTGAAAGTGGTGCTTAGTAGGTGGCTGATTTGGAGGTGGTCTTATAAAATTCCCCAATGTGGTAAAATCTGTGGAACTACAAATGTTCTTCAGTAAGCTACAGCTAGGTTGGGTCTTTATGTACAAAGAGAAGTTCAGGGTATTCTACACCCAATCCCCAAATTCTTTTTCTTTCCCATAGGTAAATCGTGTGGATCTCCTCCAGAACTCATAAATGGCAAAATGGAAATAACTGGAGGCACCCAGTTTGGATCAATTATTAATTATTCTTGTAATGAAGGGTGAGTTGGCAGTAGCATTTTTGGGGAGGGGGGTGATAGTTAAAAGTTTTGACAACAATCTCTAAACAATAGTATTAGATAGGAGAGTTAAACTACTTGTATGTTAAAAACATAGGAATAAAATTTCTAAGTGAAGATGGCAGCTTGAATCCAGACATTTAACTGCTTAAATGCTTAAATATTAATATTAAATTAAAATAAATGTTTTATTTATATATTAAATATTATATTTAATATATAAATGCTATATATTTAATATTAAATATTTTATATTTAATATTAAATATTATAAAATATTTAATATTTTAAATAAATATTAAATAAAATATTAAATAAACATTTTATTTAATATTTTTAAATATTAAATATTAAATAAAATATTTAATATTTTAATATATTTTAATATTAAAAATGCTTAAGCACTTAAAATGCTTAAACAGATATTTCAAAAATCAGAAAAATCTGTATCCATGCTAGAAAATTGAGGACACCTGTTGCACATCACATGAATGTACCTAAAACCAAGTGAAGCATTCATGATGTGGGGGGGACCAGCTCGCCAAAGAAGTAAATGGAGCAAACACTAGTTGACCCACAAATGTATTCTTACCTTAAAGCAACAGGAGCTGGAAATGTTGCATTGAAGCGGAAGTTGGATTAGGCTGATGGAGCAAATGTGGGGGACAAGCAAATCCTAATTTTATAGCACCTCTTCTGAAGTGCTCACAGTGCAAGGACTTGCTGGGAATATATTTTTGGCTTATCCTCAGGGGAGACAACCAATTTAGAAAAGAAGTAGGGAGACTACCTTATATCTTACCTTTTGCTTTGTTTTTTGCTTACTAACAATACATACAAAATAACATAAGTGAAAAATTAAATTGTAAAAATAAAATAAACTTCAGTGTATAAATAATCACCTTAAGAAATATTACTAACACATTTGAAACCTCCAGTGCGACCTTCCCAATTCTCATTTCTCTACCTCCAGAACCTCTCCTGAAGTAACCACCATTCTGAATTTTGTGTTTGGTAGCCCCTGGCATTTCTTTTAGATTTTCTCCCATGCATAATATTAATCAGTGTATTTTTTGTTTTATATAAATAGCACAATGTTATATGAACTTCTCTGCAACTTGCTTTTTATCTAACAGTTTCTTTCTGACACTCACCCATATGGATGTGGCTAATTCATTTTCGCTTTGGATGGTATTATCTTGTATGGATATAACACAACTTATTTACTTATTCTTGGTTGTTTGCTAGATATTGTATTCCTTCTACTGTGTTTTATTTTGGCTATTATGAGCATGCTAGATATAAACACACTTACACGTGTCTCTTAGCACACATAAGCAAGTTTCTCGAGGATAGTGGTTTTCAAGCTTATTTACCAAGATTGAACAACTAAGAAATGTATTTCTGCAGCACATTGTACTGGAGGTTTTAGCCAGGACAATTGGGTAAGAAAAAGAAATAAAAAAGACATCCAGATGAGAAGGGAGAATTAAAACAATCTCTGTTAACAATTAACATGCTTTGTTATCCAAAAGATTCAAGAAGGAGGACTTCTAGACTCCTTTTTTGAGGTTAGTATTATCTTAATCTCAAAACCAGGTAAAGACACAACAAAGAAAAGAAAATTCTAGGCCAGTATCTCTGGTGAACATAGATGTTAAAATCCTCAACAAAATATGGGCAATCCAGATCTAGCAATATATTAAATAAATCATACATCACAATTAAGTGGGATTTTTCCCAGGGATGCAAGGATGGTGTAACAGTTGCAAATCAAGATATGTAATACGTCACATGAACAAAGTGAAAGACAAAAATCACATGAGCGTATCAATAGGTGCTGAAAAAACATTTGATAAAACCCAGCACACATTTAGTGATAAAAACACTCAGCAAAGTGGGAATAGAGGGAGCATATCTCAACGTAATAAAGGCCATATATGAGAAACCTACAGCGAACGTCCTACTCAATGGGCAAAAACTAAAACTGTTTTCCCTAAAATCAGGAACCAGACAAGGGTGCCTACTTTTACCACTACCACTCAATATAATACTGGAAGTTCTAGCCACAGTAATTAGACAAGAAAAAGAAATAAAAGGCACCCAAACTGGAAAGGAGGAAGTAAAACTGTCATTGTTTGCAGATGACATGATACTGTACAAAGAAAACCCTATTGCTTCCACCAAAAAACTACTTGACCCAATAAGTGAATTCAGCAAAGTAGCAGGATATAAAGTCAATATTCAGAAATTGATGACATTCTTGTACATCAACAGTTAATTATCAGAAAGAAAAACTAAGAAAAAAAAATCCCCTTTAGTATAGCAACAAGTAAAAAAAGATACCTAGGAATAAATTTAACCAAGGAAGTAAAAGACCTGTACACAGAAAACTGTAGAGCACTGAAGAAAGAAATTGAGGAAGATACAAATAAATGGAAGTATATACCATGTTCATGGCCTGGAAAAATTAACATCATTAAAATGTCCATACTAGCAAAGCAATCTATAGATTCAACACAATTCTTATTAAGATACCAATGACATATTTCATAGATCAAGAACAAATATTCCAAAAATTTATATGGAAACAAAAAAGATCCTGAATAGCCTCAGCAACCCTGAGAAAGAAGAACAAAGTTGGAGGGATCACAATACTTGATATTAAACTATATTACAAGGCCACTGTAATCAAAACAGTCTGGTACTGGCATAAGAACAGACACATAGATCAATGGAAAGGAATAGAGAGCCCAGAAATAAACTCATGTCTCTATGGTCAATAAACATTTGATAAAGGAGGCATGAGCATACAATAGAGTAAAAACAGTCTCCTCAATAAATGGTGTTGGGAGAACTGGGCTGGTACATGCAGAAAAATGAAGCCAGACCACCAACTTCCACCATACACCAGAATAAACTCAATATGGATAAAAGACTTAAATACGAGTTGTAATACCATAAAAGTCCTAGTAGAAAATATAGGCAGCAAAATTTTAGACATCCCATGAATCAATATTTTTACCGATATTTTCCTATGGCAAGGGAAATAAAGGAAAAAAATAAACAAGTGGGACTACATCAAATTAAAAACTTTCTGCACAGCTAAAGAAACCATCATCAAAATGAAAAAGAAACCGAATGTATGGTAGAATGTATTTGCTAATGATACATCAGACAAGGGTTTAATCTCCAAAATACATGAAGAGTTCATATGACTCCACACCAGGAAAAAAAAACAACCCAATTAAAAAATGGGCAAAGGACCTGAATTGATACTTCTCCAAGGAGGACATACAGAAGGCACATAGACATTAAAATGAAGGTCAATATCACTAGCATCAGAGATGTGCAAATTAAACCACAATGAGGTTTCACTTCACACTTTCTAGAATGGCTATCAGTAACAAATCAACAAACAACAAGTGTTGGTGAGGATGTGGAGAAAAGGGAACCCGAGTGCACTATTGGTGGGAATACAGACTGGTACAGCCACTGTGGAAAACAGTATGGAACTTCCTCAAAATATTAAAAATGGAACTGTCTGATGACCTAGTGATTCCACTGCTGGGAGTATACCCTAAGAATCCTGAAACACCAATTCAGAAAAACTTATGCACCCCAATGTTCATAGCAATGTTATTTACAACAGCCGAGTGCCAGAAACAGCCTAAGTGCCCATCAGTAGAAGAGTGGATTAAAAAACTGTGGTATATTTACCCAATGGAATATTACATAGCAGGAGAATGAAGGAATTCCTACCTTTTGTGACTGCATGGACGGAACTGGAGACTATTATGCTAAATGGAATAAGATAGTTGGCAAAAGACAAATACCAAATTATCTCACTTATAACTGGAATTTAATGAACAAAATAAACTAACAAGAAAAGTACCAGAGTCATGGAAACATGAAACAGACTGGTAGCTGTGGGAGAGGAAAACTGGGGGTGGGGGTGGGGGTGGGGTGGGGTGGGATTGGTGGAAGGAAGAGGGGGGATTAAAGAACATGAATGAATGACCCATGGACAAGGGAGAGGGGGATTGACTGTGGGGCGGGGGTGGGGCTGGCTAGAGGGGGCGCCAAAGGGAAAGAAATTGCTACAACTGTAACAGAATAAACAATAAAAAATGAAAAAAAAAAAACAATGCACACACACAAAATGCTTTTTATGGAAAATCCTAAGAAATGCAAGCACACAGTAGAAAGCAAACAAACCAACAAAAAAAATTTTAAAAACCCAATACCTATTACAGCTAATAAATACATCAGCTTTTTTATTTTTGAATGGATACTTCTCCAAAGAAGAAAAACAAAAGACCGATCAACACAGAGAAGATACTCAGCATCATTTATCATTAAGGAAGTGCGAATCAAAAGCACAATGACATAACACTTCATGTCCACTAAGATGACTATAATCTAAAGGGCAATAAACTAGTGTTAGTAAGACTATGAAGAAATAAGAACCCCCATACATTGCTGGTGGGAATGTATAATGGTGCAGCTCTACTTTAGGAAATGGTTTAGCAGTTTCTTAAAAAGGTAAATATAGAGTTGGCATATTACTTAGTAGTTTCACTCCTAGGCATATGCTTACAGTAGCTGGAAACATGTCAGTTTCACAATGCTCTAATACTCTACTGGTGGTGCATAAATCATTTAAATTAAACACAAAAGTTAAAAGACAACAGCATTAAAACAACTACAGCTACAATAATTTGTTAATAAATACACAATAGAAAATATGTAAAGTATAACATCAATAGCATAATGTGTGGTGGAGAAGAGAGAATTTTCTTGTGTGTGGTTGAAGTTATGAGCTTAAAATAGACTTATGATAATAAGACATGTAATGTAAGCCTTGTGGTAACCACAAGGGAAAAACCTTTAGTAGGTACACAAAAGAGAAAGAGAAAGAAATCTGAGCATAGCTCTACAAAAAAATAATAACAAAACACAAAGATACCAAGAGAGGAAGA